CTAGGTTGAACCTAACCAGACAGCAACTAGGAACCGTTGTGGGTTAACAGTGTCTCCTAAGGGGCAGAGATACAGCAATCAGGATCTGGTGATTGAGATGAAGGGAAGGCAGGGGCTCCACTCCTAGATGGACTCCAGCGAGACCAGGCAGGCTAAAGGATAAGGAATCAAGGCACAAACAAGCACCAGCTTGGTGTGGGGGGAGCAAGGATAATTCAAAGCACTGCAGGTACACTCCTGCCCTCCAAATATTGTTGGGTTCAGTGTAGACAATTCAGAGAGACACAGGGCTTCACCAGAGTCATGACTAATCACAAGATCCCAGAACTAGGGTGAGCACTTAATTCCAATCCTAAGGGGTAGAGACTGCTTCTACTTCAACTTTAACCCATAACTAGAAGGCTTTGAGGACTTTTAAGTGGGATTCATTAATAGATGGAGGTTCCAGAACTGCTGAAACCAAGGCAGCCTTTCTCATTCCATCTCAGTATTTGTGTCAACATTGTGACGAAAGTACTTGGGCAAGGTGGGATGTGGCCATAATCCAGGTGTCACCTGTGTTACATCATCCATTCACTTAAAAGTCAAAGTTTAAAACTGTAAAAAAACAACTGTGAAAATGTAATAAATATAAGTAGCTGCATGGTTCCACAGCCATAGTCATCCACAGCCATCTCACTCACGATTCAAGAGGCAGAGAGAACTCTCATCCTGCAAGTTCAGCCTCACATCTGCCCAGTAACGCTGGTTCTTTGTCACCATCTGAGATGCAGAATTTGGGAGTGTCACCCTCTTTGGCTGAGCCAGAAAAGGGCTCTGCCGCTCTTTCATTTTTCTTTGCTTTAGGCACAGGTTTCATGCCCTTTCTAGACCCTGAACTGCAGAGCTCCTGAACTGTCCTTGCCTTTGGCCTTTTTTCCCCATTCTCCTTGGGGTCTGCTCTCTAGCAAATGATATTGACTAGACCTCTCCACATGAGTTCACAAAATCCTTGGAATACATGTGTGCCTAACTTCAAAAACCAAAAGGAAGAAAAGAAGGGAGGAGCAGGGGAAGAAGAGAGGGAAGGAGGAACTCAACACATCAGAATAAAACTTTTTTCTCTTCTATTTGCCTCTCAGGTACAGAGAGCTAAGTTGATCATGCTTCATTCAAGTAATATTATCATTGGCCCATTCAATGTCCTTCTCTGTTTTTAGTTATTTATTTTATCCCCTTCTCCCACTTCCTTCTGATTCACCATAAGCAGCCATCCTAATGTATGTTTATATGTTTTCCTTTAAAATGTCTAATGTTTAGTGTCCACGTATTTTAATTCTGCATGTGGTATTTAATATATATCATTAATTTCTTACTTGTTTCTCGGAACTATGATTCTAAGATCCACTCATGCTGCTCTGTGTGCCTTTAGACTCTTGCCTCTAACTGCTGACCTACTAGTTAAGTGTTTACCATCCACATTTACCATTGCCTCACTCAGGTTGCCTCCCAGGTTGCCTCCAATCCCCCCTGATGCCACAATGCTGTGAAGAAAATCCTTTTGTACAGCTTCCCTTAAGTATCAGTGTGAGAATTTCTCTGGGATATATACACAGGAGTAGAACAGCAGGGTTATTGAGAGAATGTTCACATTGCTAAAAGTTTCTAGCTTCATGGGAAGAACCATAAAAGCATCCATCAGAGAAGGAAGCACCTTCAAAGGTAGTACATTCAAATCATTATTAGCAAATCACAGGCCACATGAACAAACAAGTATAAATACAGGAAACAGACACTTCAATGCTTAGAAACTGCTGCCAACTGAAGATGAATCAGAAATGAAGCCGTCTCTAAAATAAAAATATAAGTCAGTTAGTGGGAAAAACAGTTTTGGATTCATAGAAACACATTCTCCACATCACTTCATGAGAATACGTCTGTTATGAAAAGTTCAGTGCACCTGCTTCACCCCACCACTCTCCATTCTGTGGCTCCCAGACCTTTCTTGCCCCAACTACATCCACAAAGCTACCTGCTGTTCGCTCAGTGGCTCTTTTATGATGAGGACTCTATTTTTACTCTCATCACCACTGCCTTTCTTGCTCTGCAGCATCAACATCAACTCTGCAAAATTTCATCTTGCACCAGGGCTGTTCTGTAGTCATTGGGGACAGCCAGTGCATGATCTACAGCTTCTCTCACTTCCATCCAACCTTTGCTCCTCATCCCTCATCCCGACAGCAATCAAAAGCTCAGGCAACCTCCCTGGTCAAATCTGAGCCAAACTGCTCCCCGGGGAGCCACAGTGTGCTCCCTTTTGGAGAAGGAGGCTGCCTGCTGAGAGACTCCAGCTTCCGGGCTCCATTTGCATGAATAAACAGCTCTGAAGGGTTCAGTTGAAGCTTTTATGTAAACACTCTCCAAAATATGTTCTGCACTGCATTATCCCCAGCAATAAAGATTCTGGAATCAGAATTTGGCTGTCAGTTTTATTGATGTTGCATGGGGTACAGTAGAATACGGCTTTCTCTTCTGGAAATTTATTGACTTGGCAGTGCAGAGAGCAATAAAACTGTGTTTTTAATCAGTAAGCCAAGCAGACATGATTCCAGAAGAAATATAGGAAGCAAACAGGCCATCATAAGAAGATTTCTCCCCCAACTGTCCCTGTTCTTCTCAGATGCCCTGTTAAATAAGTTTGGGTGTTGAACGATATGCTTGGTAGGACTGTCTTCAGGAATAGAATCAGAGGACCAAGTTTGGATTACTTCCTCCAGGTTATACCATCGCTAAGAGACTATTCAGTGAAAGCAATTTTCTGAAATGAAATTTCTCTGCATTAGCCCCTAGAGAGGAACTGTGATAAGCTGCTTTGCACGAGGAACAGAGAGAATGAGACATGACTCCTCTCAAGAGAAGAAAGGTTACAATGCCTGTCCCTCCACCTTGCTCACTGAGAGAGGAGGTTACCTGGATATATATCCAAAGGAAATGACTTCACTATCTCAAAGAGACGTCTGCACTCCCATAATCATTTCTCCATTATTCACAATAGCCAAGATATGAAAATAACCTAAATGTCCTTCGACAGATGAATGGATAAAGAGAATATATGTATATTGTATATGCATATGTACAATGGAATATTTTTCAGGCATAAAGGAAGGAAATCCTGCCATTTTCACAGCATGGATGAACCTGGAGGGTATTATGCTAAGTGAAATAAGCCAAACAGAGAAAGACAAATACTGTATGGTATCACCTATGCGTGGAATCTTAAAAAAAAAATCAAGATTTCATAGAAACAAAGAATAGAATGGTGGTTGCCAGGGACTGGGGAGAGGGGAAAATGTGGAGATGCAGGTCAAAGGGTACAAACTTTCAGTTATAAGAAGAATAAGTTCTGAAGATCTAATGTACAGCATGGTAACTATAGTTAATTATACGGTATTGTATACTTGAAAGTGGCTGAGAGTAGATCTTAAGCATTCTCACCACAAAAAAAAAAAAAAAAAGAATTAACTATGTGAGGTTATGGATGTGTTAATTATCTTGATCTTGGTAATCATTCCACAATGTATGTATATATCAAATCATCAAGTTGTACACTTTAAATATACACAATTATATTTGTCAATTATTGGAAAAGTTGGAAAAAAGGAGAAAAGAGAGAGAGAATGAGTTAGGAATCACATGCTAGGTAAACATTTGAACTCAGTCTGCTTGGTCCTGTTACCTTGTCCAGGTTACTAAATCTCTCTGTGATCCCGCTTCTTCTGCTATCAAAGGAAAATACCCACCTCACACCATTGTTAAGCGGATAAATTAAAGTTAGAAGTGAGTATGCATAACTCACACAGCACTTTACACCAGTGGCAAGTCCCATTCGGGACTGTAGAACATCTGACTGATGCAAATCTGCTCATGATGGAGGAAGTGTTCTTTCCCAGCAGCTAAGGCAGTCTCTGTTGCATAGACACATGAAAGCAAATCTCCCACCTCTGTTCTCATATTCCTGATATTCACTTCCCACCTGCAATGTCCTCATCCACTCCCCTCCTCTCTGCCAGTCCTTGGGCCAAAACTTTGAACCACTGTAGTTGCTTGATAAATGTTGGTTGAACATTCCTCCCTGCCTCGCAGATGTTTTCTCCTGAGTTATCTTAACCCCAGGTTCCATTAGCACTCATATATCATCCTGTTCTGGTTTTGCTATTGCTGAGTAATGGCTCTTCTCTCAACTCTTATGTAATGCCTAAGTTTTATCTCAATCCTAGAACACTTAGATTGTTCCTCTGGATACAAGCTAGTGCCTGTAGGAAACGCTCTATAGATGTTCCCCCAAAATGGCATGAGATGTCCACGTGATTTAACCTTAGGAGCAAGTGGTCTATTTGGGATAATATTGAAATAGGGGAAGGTGATATAGATCAAAATAGGAGCATGTTCTTAGTGAATCTTTCCTTTCCTGCCTGCCAGGTTTCCAATTGTATTTTCACCATTCATTTCTCCATTCTACCCAAAATAGCTTCTTTCCCATCCTCTCAATCAAGCCTATAGGGCCACTCTAGAACTATGTATTAACTATTTACTTGGTGCCAAGCCCTGTCTTTTACATAGGTTATCTTGATTAATTGTAACAACCCTATGAAATAGGAATTATCATTTCAATTTTATGGATGAATAAACTGAAACAGAGGGCTTAAATACCATGTTCAAGGTCACATAGCCAGGCAGTGTGAGAGTGGGGATTTGAACCCGGGTGTGTCTGATCACAAAGTTCAGGATCTTAAAGACAAAATTACACACTCTTTGATAAATACCAAGAATGTCAGAGCACATCTCTTTATTGATATGTTAGAATTCTCAGCCTGAATCCAGTTGTTGGGAACTCTGTAGATCACATACATACAAACACAAAGACACACACACACACGCACACACACACATTTTATTCATAAACTTAAAAGGCACCTAATCTTAAATCTTAAACTCTTAGCTTTCCTTTTTTTCTTTTCTAGATCACTCACCTATCTTCCTATCAAAGTAATCCCATCTCAAGCTTTCAGAGGACTTGATGAAGTTGTAAAAATGTAAGTAAAATACTGCATATCAAAAGACATTCATAATTGGAATAATAAAATTTTTCCTAAGAGAAAATGTAGTTGAAAGAGGATAATTTTTCTAGAAGAGAAATTGTGATTAGGAAACCCTAGTATTTTTATCTTTTTAATACAAATAATATCTAGGGACCTTTGAAGAAAATGTATGATTTTCAAGAGTCATTAAAATCCAGATAATTAACTTTGCTTCAATGAACTGAATGCATTTGGATAAGTGATGATAAACTTCTCAAGTAGAAAAGAAGACAGATTCCAATCATAAAGATTCTCCTTCTGCCAGAGCAGCTATTCCCTCGTGTCATATTCTTAGATAACACCCACATAGAAGAAAATGTGTTGGAAGTTTATTGTGCATCAAAAGATAATCTTTGTATCTAAAATATAGTAATTGTATGATGAAAACACAGTATTTCTAGCCATATTGATAAAAGGCATTTATCAAAAGTGTAAAGCAGCCTGATCATGCAGTGTGATCTCACACTGTGTCAGAGGTAGCGTCAATCCTTTGTCCCTGGGTCTCAGCTTCTGGGGCACAAGACCTCATACACAGAGATAGAACTTTCTCAGGAGTCCAGGATTCCAGCATCCTCCTTAATGTTAGTCCTAGTCAAAGAACCTTAGAGGCCATTTACTTCCCAGAGAGCATCTCTTGATCTTAACAATCCACTGGGCTTTCTAAGTAGATTTGCATGTGTAAAGAAGATGCTATACCCATCAATCCTAGCTCCTTCGGGAACCTCTGACTGCTCTTTAGGGTATTAGCAAGAATCGAGGTATTTTTGTAAATTCCTCAAAAAGTAATGCATATTATAGGAAATTCACTGCAGGTTTACAGAAATGTCAGTTTGCTTGAGCCTAACCCTTACTCTTCTGCTCTCAAGTTTAAATGCTGAGTTTTGATCATTTGATCATTTGATGCACTTTTAATGCATTAAGACCTCCTGGTTAGAAAAGCAACCACAGTTAAATAAGCAAACCGTTAGGCAGAAATAAGATGAATCAGCCCAGAAACAATCCATTACTGTGTCGTTCGTGAAAGACATTAACTGCCTTAGGCTCAGCCTTTCTGTGGGCTAACCTCTCATCAAGTCTGAAGCCTTCAGTGAAAGTTAACCTTAGAAATACGCAAATGTACAATTTGTGAATTGGAGACTTCTTTCTCAGTTGGCAGCAAATGGTAGCTTATGTTGAGGTTTTAGGGTAACATTGACATTATCTACATTCGTAGGAATGGTACATGGCAAAGCTAGTGTCTTTACTTTTGTGTCTTTTTTAAAAAATTCATTCATTCATTAATCTATTCATTCACTCATACCCTATGTGCCAGGCAATATGAAGCCACCAGGGATTCAGAAGAGAATACGACATACTCTTTGTCCTCAATTTGCTAACAAAGTGAGACAAACAGTCATAAGAAGTAGACAGTTACAACCCAAGAAGGACACTACGTGCAGAAGTTCACCACCTTGCAATTGCCTCAGAACAGGATTTTAGGAAAAGGGTAAAACGTTATGAAACAATGAATTCAACCCAAATTAAAACCTCCTTAGAGTGATGGAGTTGGGAACCCAGACATCCTGATCCTTGTCCTGTACCTTCCTATTAACACTGTTTGCCCCTCCTCTCAGAGCCTCAATTTCTAAAGCTGTACAACAAGGGGATCTGACGAGTTTTTCTCAAAGGTCCTGTCCACTTCTAAGAATCTGTGACTCTGAGTCATAGATAAGCAAGAAGAAAACCTGTCACATTAACAGAGGTTACTGAAACTTGCATTTCAACTGCACCTGAGTTGTACGTGTCCATCTGTGCTCCTAAAGGGAGACGTTAGCACTGTATCATGCAGGACAATTTAAGGCATCCCTGCTCTTTTTTAAAAGGACACACTGGAGTCCCCAGTTGTTGGGTCACACACAAAGCTTATGACCATGCAGACACCATCATTTCTTTCATGTTTCTCATTTTTTTTTTTCTTTTCTCTCCCCTAGTGAAATCTCTCAGAGTGATTCCCTGGAAAAGATAGAAGCTAATGCCTTTGACAACCTCCTCAATTTGTCTGAAATGTAAGCATCAGCTAACAGATAGTTTATTGCTGTACACTATTACCTCGCTGGCTGGAGCCCACTCAATATTTGTATTCAAGCATCCACTGCTAGGAATCCAAGAGGAAAAGACTACAGCAATTACTAGGTCTGAGCAGGCACTAATTTCTCTCACTGCAGTGGCCTGAAGGTTGCCATGGTGACAACTGCTTCTCCCTGGGAGCTGTATAAACTCTGAAACATCACAACACAAAGTTGGAAATTAAAATTGACATTGTGGAGTCCTGCCAAGTAGCTCTTACCTTATGGAAGGAAGGGTACGCAGTACTTGAGATGGTGGGAAAATTTGGAAAAGAACTTAAAGGTCATTAATTAGTTCTTTGGGGGGTGTTTGGGGATATTCATTTATTCAGTAAATGGTTCTTGAACACTGCCATGTAAAAGCCCTGTGTTGGGCATGTGTATGTTGGGTTTGTTTTTGTTATTGTGATGTTTTGGAATTGATACTTAAAAATAATCCTTTCTCCAATTTACAAAAAGGATGGGAAAAGATTGGCTTAATTCAGTTTTCAAATGATGAACTGATGGCCCAAAGAGGTTAGCTGATTTGCCTGATGTAACACAGCAAGTTAGCACCAGAGCTGGGGCTGTAAATCAGGTCATGTGACTCCTAAACCTGGCATTTTACTGATGCCTTGTTTGGCCCAAACCTTTGGCCAAACATTTATTGTTTGGCATTTATTTCCTCTAGGTTATGTCATCTAATCCTTATAGCCACCTTGCAACTTGGGGTTATTATTCCTTTTGTTAAGGGGAAGGAATGCAGGGTCAGAGACCTCAGTAACTTGACCAATGTGTCACCTTAGACAATAACAGGGCCAGGATTCAACCCTGGCCTGTCTTTCTTCAAAGCTTGTGCATTTTACACTATACCACAAGGCCTCCCTATGAGTGGTCCCCTTAGCAATTATCTAAAGAGAACAATTAATTGATAAGTATGTGAGTACCCGCCACACATCCAACCAAGGGCCAAGTGCTACTGGAATACAAAGAAGGTAAAACACAACTCTCCCGGAAATGACAGCATAGCCAGGGAGGTGAGACTAACTCACCAAACGATTATAAGGAAATCCAAAATAATGGGTATTTCAGTGCAAAAGGTATAGCCAGGACTTGGCTGTGAAGTAGAATTTCATGGTGGGGGTGGGGAGGGGGGATGGGAATCATTACCATTATAGATGATAGCCTTATCCCAGACCTGGAAATCTGCAGTTTTAACAGACTTCCCAGGTGATGCTGAAGTATAGCTTATAGTGAGAAGCACAGAGTAGTTTAAGATAAATAAAGCTGCTCATGATGAAAAGTAACATTTATCGACAGAAAGAAAAATGAAGTGCTCTATGGGAAAGTTTATGCACTTTTCCCAAGGAGGGTCCTGAGACTAGGATGTTAGCTCCACACAGGCTCTTTTGCTTTGTTCACAGCTATTTCCCCAGCACCTGGAACAGGGCCTGGCACATGTAGGTGCTCAATAAATGTTTGCTGAATGAATGAATGTATGACTGAATGGTCTAAGGTCAGACCCCAAAAGATCCTTAAGAGATAAAATTCCCTTCCCTCTCTTCCATATAATGCCTTACATGGCCCATGAGTGCTTGACTCACTTGTAAAAATAATTGCCACAAAACATCATTCACCTCTAAAGAATCACAAGGACATAAAAGATGGAAATAGCAGCAGTGGTGGATAACTGTGGTAAGGTGAAACGATCACAGACTTGGAGTCAGAAAACTTGAGTTCACCTCCAGGTTCTGCTACTTCTCATCTGTATGACTAGAGACAAATCATTCAACTTCCTGATTTCATCAACTATAATAATACCTGCTAACATTGATTGAAGCCTTACCATGAACGAAACACACATTTACTCCTCAAAAACCACCCTATGAGGACATCGAGCTTTAAGTAATATATCCAAGTCATACAATTAGTAAAACCAGGATGTAAAGTCAAGCTGACTTCAGAGTCCGTCCACCGAATCAATACAATATATTTTCTATGTAGAACAAGAGTGATTATCATTTCCTCAGGGGTTGTTGCATGTGTTAAGAAAGCTAAAGGCACTTCCTGGCCTTTTATTGAATCCAAAGTAGACAGCACTTGGCAACTGTGGCTACTTCTCAAAGGGTGAAAGTCACTGGGGGAACTGGGGAGAAGGGCAGTGAGACCACTGTGGTATTATAGCTATAATTTTATACTTTGCAAAGCCCTGCCTTGTATATCATCTCTACCTATTCTATTACTCATTACCTAACAACCTGTGAGGTAGGAAGAGTGTGTATTATTATTCTGATTTTACAGCATGGAAAACTAGCTCAGGGAAGATACAAGGCTGGCCATCATCATACAACAAATTATCTACAGAATGAGCATAAAATCACCCAAATCCAAGCCCCTGGACTCTGCCCTGGCTGTTCCATAGACTGGGTACCCATCTGGGTAATTGGTCAGTGTGGCTGCTAGCCCAGTATGAAGAGAACCAGTTTGTCTACAAGGGGCAGTAGCTAATTTGCTCATCTCTCCTGGCAGTGGAATTTCCCATCACCCCCAGCGGGCAGGCTCCATGGTGGGGCAGGACCTACTCGGCCAGGAGCCCTGGACACTGATGTTCCTCGAGGTACAGGGGTGTATAACAGACTCCCACCTTTGATGCTTACACCTGCCTCAGCAGGAGGTTGAGAGCAGAGCTTCCTAGAAATAGCCAACTGGCTCTTACCATGCCATTTCCACCCCCAGGGTCTCAGGAGCTCCTCTCAAGCATATTAAAGTGACTTGATTTTGTTGATGCTATTTTCAGCCAGCATCCTCTGGTGACCATGATCTCATGTATTCCAAATAAAACATATCTAGTAAACTGCTGCCTTTTTTTTTTTTCTCTTTACAGACTGATCCAGAACACCAAAAACCTAGTGTACATCGAGCCTGGAGCATTTACAAATCTCCCCCGGTTAAAATACCTGTGAGGAATTTTTCTTTTTAAGCAACTGGGGATGGAAAGATGGGCATGTGATGAAAAGCAAAACAATAAAAAGGCTGAGAAGAATTTTTAACTATATACTTAGCATTATTTGCATGTGCGTCTTCAGCCTTCTGATTTAATCAGCAGTTTTTGTCAGCCTCCATGCTGGGTGCTTTCATATATGTGTAAGTGGTTCCCAACATTTCTCTGTCTCAAACACCCAAGAAGAATGTCTCCCCTTTGCAGTGATTTTCAAAGCTGGTGGTGGGAAGGCGGGGGGTGGGGGGGGTGACACTTTAAAGTCTCTAAGGTGAGGTGGTGATATGGGCAGAGTGTGGGTGAAAGTGAGAGAAGCAATTCTGATTGGTCCCCATCCCTGGTTGAGAATGACTGATCTTCTGTATCTCAGTTGTTTATTCACTTATTAAGTGAAAACTTTTTAAGCATTGCCTTGAGGTAGGCACTATGCCACATAAACTAAATCATTATTTTCTATTTCCCATTAAATGTAAGTCCACTAGTTAGAATTATACGTTGAGTACCACTGTACCCCAGTGGATTCATTGCCTTGCCAGCAATACCAAAATTCCTGAAACGTGATAGAATCTATAAATTTATCACCGTGGATCTTCTCACATACCAACCAGTCACTTTTTCACACAGAAAAATTTAAATCTCTCTAACATAGATGTCCTCTCTCTCTTCTTCCTGATAAATTAAATTTCATAAGATCCCCAGAGGATGTAAAGTCCACAACCCCCATCACCTCCAAAAAGAAAAAAATGGAGGGGAAGTGGGGACATCTTCTCTCTGGTGTTCCACGTGATCCGTGCAGTCTTGCCCTGGGGCCTCCTACAGGAGGTGCTGCTGGAACTAGCAGAGCTCCAATTCCTAACCCAGGGGCTGTGCTTTTCCAAATCTCTAAGGGGTCCATGGGACACATAAGCATCTTCAGCATCAACCACTTTGGAAAAACATAAGAAAATCCCAGAACAAAATGTGACTACTGCAACCCCTTGTTTTCTAAGAATCCTTGTCTTTATTAAATAGTATTTTCACCAAAAAAAAGGGATATTCTCCCAACCCCAGTATGCATTGCCGTTTAAGCCCACACTGCTACCACCAGCCACAGGCAGGGCAAGGATCAGTGTGACTGGGGTAACAGGTAAGTAGGAGAACCAGATAGAGCCCAAAGAGAAACCTGGCTTCCTTTCAGTGTCACCAGTGCCAGCAGTTCACATCAGTTGTCCAGAGTCCATGACTGGTGAATTTAAAACTCATTTGGGGGTAAGCCAGATGCTGGGACTCCTCTAAGGAGTCCTGTTCTTGTGTAATAAAATATCCTTCAATTTAACCTATCACTGAAGCCTCTCTCTTCTTTGAAGGTTGAATAAAAGGTAGGAGGAAAAGAAGAGCCTGGAGTAGCTCCAATAACCCAAAGAATGTTTAACGATTTCAGTGAGATACCTGGAAGAACTTCCTGAGTCGCAACGTAGCTAAATAAAGGAAGATTTTTAATGATGAAGGATATGGATTTCTCACAGGGAGATTAATCTTCCTGAAGTGTTTGAGTTAAAACGTGTTCCAAAGTAGAGGGATGCTTTCTAGAACTATCAAGAGCATGGAATAAACTAATTACCAAAAGGAAATGGAATGCGATACAATAGGAAAATGCAACTGATACAATAGGAAAAGACAGGCTGGAAATACAAACATAAATGAAAAAGACCTAAAAGTTTGGTCCCAGCCCCTAGATCTCTAAATAGGTGTCATTAGAGCAACTTCTCCGTAGTGTTAGGGGTTTTTAAATTCTAGCAATCTTTAACAGCTAAAATTGTTACTGATAAAGCCAAACTCAATATTTTTTAATTTAATGTGAAAATGGTATTTGTAAAGTGCCTTTCTACTGCCTTTATCTTTATGCCTTAATAACAATCACTTTTACTCACTCTCTGCCCACATCCCCACCCTGCCCCAAATAACAGAAGCATCTGTAACACAGGCATCCGAAAGCTTCCAGATGTTACCAAGATCTTCTCCTCTGAAATTAATTTCATTCTGTAAGTACCAGGCTGATTGGTATGCATAACAGTTTCCTATTTGCAGCTAAAATTTGGAAAGTAAATATTTCTCATTTCATTCCTCAAGGGAAATTTGCGATAACTTACACATAACCACCATACCAGGAAATGCTTTTCAAGGGATGAATAACGAATCCATAACACTGTGAGTAAACTCCCAAATTCCCATTCTGCCATACAGCCTCCTGCTATTCTTATTTCTAACTCGAGGTGAGCTCTTCCTCATCTTTTACCACATTCCTCATTTGCTGGTGACATTCTTTTTGACCTAAAATGTCAAGGGTGAGAGGAGTTGTGTGGGATCACAGCTGGGTCATATGTTCACTTGACAACCAACCAACCCATTCAGTTTAAAATTAATCAAATGGGCCCTGAGGATTTACAGTGACTGAATTTCCAACTGATGAAATTGTTCACTACATCAATGGAATGCTTTGAAGCTGGGAAGAGACAGCCCAGAGGGGATTGGCTGCCCTGGTTAAAAAAGAGCTTAGAAATTTCAAGTTTCAGTGAGAAGAGTTTGGAAGGATATTCTCCAAGTAGGTAGAGTAGTTGATCAATGGACTCTGCTCTCTGTCTTTCTTTCTCTGATTTTTCATCTACCTCCTGGGACCTGATCACTTTGTTTCTGAAGCAACAGCATCTGTGCCCATTCCCTACATCCCTTAATACTTGAAAATAATGTCTTTTTGTTTGACAATCACTCATCAGGTTACCAGGCTCACAGGCCCCATCCCTTTCATGCTCTTTCCTAAGACCTTGCTTTTCAAAATATGGTCCATGGACAAGCATCTACAGCATCTTCTGAGAGCTGATTAGAAATACAGACTCTTAGGCCCATCCCAGACCTCCTGACTTAGAATCCGCATTTTTCACAGGTTCCCAAGGATTTACATGCACATTAAAGTTTGAGGGGCATTGTACTAAGATAACCCAACTCATTCTCTTCACTGTACACCTGCTGACCTCCTTCCCTCTGGGATCCCTGCCATCTTCACATGGGGCACCTTCCTTTGCCCCACCCTTCAGAAGTAGCACTCTGGGCACCATGTCTCATTTACATCCAAAGTCCAGTGACCCATATTCAATTCTGCTCCCCACATCCATATTCTTCTCACTCTTTCTGCTTTGGTTATAGCCTATGGCAGGATCGTGATGAGGCAATAAATAAGTTTAAATGCCCTTAAAGAAGAAAGAGAGAGCATGGATTGGATAACCCTGAAATGAGGAGGTAGCTGTGAAGCAAGAGAAGAGACCATCTCAGAGGACCCTTTTATATCAATGGATTCTAAAAATTGGTGTCAATTGTATGCTGCATTTGTATAGTACTTTTACTTTCTAGGTATAATTCAACACACATAATTGTCATATTACAAAGCTATTGCCAATGTAGCCCCAGCTCAGAGTGTTACAATCAAAAGAATATAGAGCAATAAACAAAAATAACTTCAAAATAACTCAAATTCTTTACTTGCAACTCTTGAACACCAGGAAGGAGACTTTAGATCCTAGAAAGACTTCTCTATGGTCTTTCTACTCTTCCACTTCCCTCACACTCTACAGTCTTCCAGCTGTTTATAAAGTGTTTCCAACTCACCATTGCGTATGGATCTGGAACTACTCATTCAACATGTCCCCTGTCAGAAACAGGGTATTTACAGAGCAAACGCTGAGTGGAGAGGTACAGCAGGCCTTAGGATCCGAGGTCTTCCCATGTCTTTATTGAAAACACAAAAGACATAGAAGATCCATGTCCCAGCTCATAATCTCAATGTGGGAAAACCTGAAATAATGAAAGAATAATATAAACCAGTAGATATCCACTGTAAGAGTTTGTGGTTCACAGAAATGAGAGTCTTAGAGAAGTCCTCTTGGGCTGGAGAAGTCAGAGGAGGCTGCATAGTGGAGCTGAGACTTGAGTTAGACCTCATAGAACCAGTAACATTTGTACGGGTAAATGTGAGAATAGCAGCTCTTATTCATAAAGCACTTCCTAAGTACCTGCACTGTTTTTAAGTACTTTTTTAAAAAAACTCATTTAAATCTCACAGCAACCCTATGAGGCAGGGACTCTCAGCCCTATTTTTAGATGAGGAAACCAAGGCACTGAGATGTTAAGTAATTTGCCCAAGGTCAAGATTTAGACCCAGACAGTTAGGCTCCAGAGTCATGGTCTTAACCATTTGTGGAACCACATATCCAGAAAAGGGGACTGTAATCCAAGTGAACACGAGCAAAAGCATAGGCTATGGGAAGGAGGAAACAGGATGAAGCACACTCAATGGGAGGAAACATCTTGTTTAAGGATTTGGAAATATGTTTAGATAAATGGCAGGGGTGGAAGGGACACTGGATTGCAGAGGGCCTTGAATGCTGGCATAAGGGGCTAAAGGCTCAGAAGTAACTCTTTATTCAAAGATCACAGAGACTTTGATTGAAGACTCTCTTTGATTTGACCTAACCCTAAAAATAATCAGGAACCAATAGGTACTCCTCCCAGGTAAATGTACAGTGGTGGGAGTGGAGTGGAAAAGGAATGAAAGGGCAGAAGACATGAAGATCAATAAGAAAACAAATGTTGGGAATAATCCATAGGGGTCTATGACCTCACAAGACTGGGCCACCCCAGCAAACTCAAGGAGCAACCAAAGAGTCCTTCTCATACATCACATTTCAGCATGCGCACACAAGAACTGCACAATATTTTTATTATGGTGCCATTAACTTATGTTAGTTATGATTTTAAGACGAGTAATGCCTACCAGCAGGGCATAATTGCCCCACCTCTGACGTTAATGAGGATTGTGGATCCATCTCTCCCAGAGAGCCTGTGGGGCCTTGTGCTTCCATCTCTCTCCTTACTCTCAGCCCTACATCTGGAAAGGGAGTGACTAGTCATTTGCTTGGCACTTGTTCTCAGCTGAATGGGCCCTTCTATAAGCAGGATCTGTGGAGCACCCCGCTGGAAAAAGGGTACTACACTTAAAGAGGAAAGCCTTATTTTCTCAGCTATAAAGTTCAACTCTCTAATTAGAAAATAATGAAAGCAAGCTTTCTCTTTTCATTATTAGCAGCATTTGAGATTTGGCTTTTTGTGGAATCTTTCCTGCCCTCCCCCCACTCAGATCTTTACCAACTGTGAGTTGATTTAATGAAAACAAAACACTTCACTTGATGCTGGAGAAGTTCCATGGGGCTAATGCTAACACTATGCATTAGGCTCTTATGTCCCTTTATAGCCACTTCAGCTTTTCATTAACTCTCCTCAAGAGGCCACCTTGAAATGTACCCCTGAGCAAGCAGGATTTGGCTGCACCACCTTTAAAATATTCTAATGACTGGTCATACCATTCTCAAAAAAGAGACAACCTTGATTCATGTCTGAACTCCACAAAGAGAAGGAAAGGTCATAGCAAGTAATTCTTAAGACACTTCAGAGAAGGGATGCTTGGCAAAGGATGACAAGATTCCAGACTGTACCTGTGACAACCCACAGTGGAGAGACTGCTGGGCATTGAAATAGAAAGCATAGGTTCTAGTCCTGGCTCTGCATCTAAGCAGCCTTAGTCAAGTCACGCCACCTTAACATGGCTCGATCTCTGTCTATCCAACGGGATTATTAATAACTCCTTGTGCAAATTCAATCACATTGTGTCAACTACACCGTACTGTGACAATTGAAAGTTAATATTCAGGAAGCCAGTTGTTTTAGACCGTCCTGAAAACCTCATGTCTCATCATCTTTTTAAATATTTTTTATTTTGAAATTTTTAACTGACAAATGGAGTCACTTTCCATTTGTCTTTACAACACTGACAAATGGAAAGAACAGTACTATGAATACTCCTATACACCTTACCTAGATTCACCAACTATTAATAGCTTGCCCCACCCACTCCATCTCTATATATTTAAGTACATACAATACATTTCCTTTTGCCAAACCATCCAAAAGAAGTTTATAGACATCATGACACTTCATACCTAAATACTTCAGCATGTATCTCCCCAAAACTGGGACATTCTATATAACTACAACACCATTACACCTAAGAAAATCAACATGAATTCAATGATATCATCCAACCTACAGTCCACATTCAAATGAAGATGTCTTTTACAGTTTTTTTTTTAAAACTCAGAATCTAATCAAAGTTTATGCTTTGCATTTTTGCTATTATGTCCCTTAGTCCTCCCAACCTCACCTCCCACCCCACCCCTCAAAGAACTGCCCCCCTGCCTTCCTCTGTTCTGTATGATATTAATTCCTTTGAGGAGCCCAGGCCAGTTGTGCGGATTCATCTGACTGTATTGTCATGATTAGATTCAGGTCAACATTTCTGCAAGAACACTACAAAGGGGATGTTATGTCTTTCCCCTGCATCAAACCAAGAGACACATCATGCCATACTGTCCCACGCCTTGGCCATTTGATCAAGGTGGTGACTTCCAGACCTCTTCATCGTAAGGCACATTATTCCCATTGTCATAAATAAGTAAACCATGGTGGGATACTCTGAGTTCATGTGACTATCGTGTCTGCCAACAGCCTTTCATCCAATGGTTTCGGCATCCATTAATTTTCAACTATTACATAGGGAGTTTCAAAATAGCTTTAAATTTTATCATTCCTCTACATTTGTTAGCCAGAACTCTTCCATAAAAAAGAGGTTTCCTTTCCTTTCCCCCTTTTCTTCTCTGTCTTGTTCTGTTTTTAAGTATTACAATGGAATGTGCAGTTTTCAGAAATTTTATTCAATATATTATAATCCATTGCTGTCATCATCTTTTGGATGCCTGTCACCTTTTTATTATTACATATAGTAAGTCATATAAGTTGACATGAACTTGGCTGTGGTGGAGGAAAACATAAAAACTCAGTGCTGCTAAAAGGCAGGAGACATGCCTGTATCAGAGAGAGGGATCTGCCATAGACTGTAAGCCCCACAGAAATGGGGGAATTCTAATGAACATTCAAAACTAGTAGTGACCAACATCACTACTAGATGCAGCATCATGGCAGCATCTAGTAGTGACCAGTCACAGCTATCCATACAACCACTGCCAGGGCACCCACTAAAGACGTGTCTTCATACATGAGGAAGTACTCATATAAAAGGACTTCAGCAAAGTACCAATGGTGAATTTAGGATCCCTCTTCTTTATGAGGGTTTTCGTATGGTCGTTTGATAAAAATTTGCTAATAGATTTCCACCACAGGGCATATTTTCTAAAATAGGATGCTTCACCCTTCAGCAATGGGGCCCACTTTTTGAGACCCTGAGGATCTGTAAACATAAATTAAGTTTTTTTCTTTGAAATCATCCAAAAACTAGGTGGCTACATGATCCAAGAGGGAACTATGGGAGAATGTCTAATACTGTTACTATAACCCTAGAAATGCTGTTAGAGCCCCAGGAGTATTTGGAGTTTGTTATAAGGCAGCATTCAGAATTAGAGTATCATCTGTGATTAGGTTCTAAAGCTTGAATCTTATTTTGAATAAAAAGATGCCATTCTCTCTGAGTCACGATTACTGACATTTGAATAGAGAACCTAGACAATGCTTTAAAGTAAAGTACAGCTATTGTAATAGAGGAGAGAGGGGGAAAATTCATTTCTATGCTTGTGACAGCATCCTCAAGGCAAAAGAAGTCCTCCTTATTTAATTCTGACCTGCGATGTTTTGGAAAAAGTTATCTGAAGTGACTCTCCAGATGTTTTAAAGGGCATTTAAAGTATTGTGCAGGCTTAACAGCATGATGTCTCCTACTCGCATTTGTAATTTCTCTAAAGTAAGTAAGGCACTCTTTTAATCAAAATAAGGCAGTACATTTTACTGTGTGTGACTGGTAAGAACAGAGATGAAGAGCAATATCTGAAAAGGAAACAACAAGCCACATTCTTTGGAAAGTTGGGACAAGCAGGACCTGGGCTATTCAAAAAAAAAAAAAGACATGAGAAATCTCCAAATGCAAAATGTCAGTGTTGCCAACACAGACCGAAGGTGGTTGAGGGCCTTGGTGGGAGCAGCCCAGGCCACTGAACCAACCTGCTCCACCAGAGAAAAGAAAGGCCCCGACTGCAGTGGAGGAGAACAAGAGTTCAGTTAAACAGGTGGCTGCCTTTCATGGAAATCCTGTCTGGAGCATAGAAAGGGAGACTCTTGACCTCTGTTCTGGTCAGAGAGCTGAAGGCCACTGCCACATACAATAAGAATAATAATAGGAGCAACACATTAAGCCTTTACTGTGTTCCAGAATCTGTCTAACTCCTTAAGTATGTTTACTGTTTTAATCCTCATAACAGCCTTTTGAGGTCAATATTATTATTATTATTTTTGATTTATTTTTTTTTCTGAGGAAGATTCACCCTGAGCTAACACCCACTGCCAATCTTCCTCTTTTTGTATGTGAGCCACCACTACAGCATGGCAACTGACAGACAAGTGATGTAGGTCCATACCCGGGAACCAAGCCCGGACCGCCGAAGTGGAATGCGCCAAACTTAACCACTAGGCCACTGGGGCTAGCTCTCAATCCTCAATACTACTATTATCATCCCTATTTTCAGATTAGGAAATTGAGACACAGAGATATTAAGTAACTTGCCCAAAGTAACTCAGCTTATAAGTAGCAGAGCTGGGATTCAAGCCCATGTAGTTGGGCTCAGGGCTTGCAGACTTAACCACAAGGGTGCACTTAGAGCAATGACATTGTAAGCCCCATAAAAAAGTATAAAATCCTAATATGTATAAAACTAGGATCAGGGCAGCATAAAACAGTTATGGGTAATGGGCATGCAGACAACTGCTAACAGCTTTGCTTTACTAAGAACAGAACAGAGTAGGGGCTACTCTTTCTTGATCCATTACACTTAGAAGGCAGAGAAAGCAATAAGAGGACTAGACTCTGGACTCAATTCTGACCAACAGACCATCTGATTGGCACAATGGAAATGATGAGAGCTTCATCATCCAAGATACACCCTAGGGCAAGGGGTCCCAAAGTGACATGCCCCAGGCTCACTGGGAGAGCTGTTACAAAAGTGCGTATTCCTGGATACCACTACCAGATTCTGATGCCATAGGTTTGCAGCACAGTCGGTAGGTCCGAGTCTGCAGTTTGGGCAAGCAGCTCCAGGTGACCCTGATTCAGTGGACGGAGGAGAATGCTTTGACAAACACTGGCCTAGAGTCTAAGAAATCCAATTTCAAAGAAGTTCAGAGAAAAGACAGGTGCGATTCCTTCATCTGAAAGAGCTTGCTATAAAGGAATTCACCTCCCCCGCCAAATGACGAGATACTGACAAAGAATAATATTCTAAGAGTAAAATTTTAAAAAAGAATTCCAGTGTGATTGAGCTGCTAAGAAGGCAAGACGGTTGTGTGTAATTACACAGGACAACAGATATAAACCCAGTACCTGTCCCCCCAGATTCTACAATATAAATGGAGAAGGAAAATTATTGACAAATGGCATCCAATAAGCTATTATAAAATATGGTTAAGAGCTAGTGAGTGAAGTTCAAGCTAAGAAGAATTCCAGAAGAAAGCACACGAGAGTGGGGAAGCTGGGGAAGGCTCTTCCTGCCATGGAAGGGGCAAGACTACAGCTCCCCCAGCCCGATGACTGAGCTCCTGCTGGGTAACAGGCACTATGGGAGGCCCGGGGGTTTTATGAAATGAATTAAATCTGCTCCCCTGCTCTCTTTGAACTCGATCTAATAAGGAGACACGACGAATTATTTTGTAATCTCTGCATTTTCTGAATTTCAGTGTTCAAATGTCAGGCTTCGAGCCCCAGCTATATTTATGTATTTACTGGTTTGTCTCAGCTGTGCTGTGGGTTGATGGAAAGAAACCACACATACACACACACACACACACAGACATATGTGTAGACATATACACATATACCATAAGATGACATTCCATACTTGTTTTATTTAACAAAGGCTAGAGAAATCTTTCAGACCACAGCCACCTGGAGCCAGAGCAGGTGAAGGATGTATCTAAACTCTTTCTCACCTCGCACTCCCCAGCCTGTCCCTGACATGGCCACGTAGCTGCCAGCAACCCCATAAAGGGAAGCTAGGGTCTTGCCAGATACAGGAGTTTAATTTTATATCTTACCACAGCCCTTTCTCACTTGAGTCTTACATCATTGTTCATAAAGAATTTATACAAATATTTCTATTTTAAGACTGTGGCTACAATTTATAGTAAGAAATTCATCTTACATAGACCCGTTTGTTCATCTAATTGATTTAACATATATTTATTATAATCCTCCCAGGTCCCAGGCACTTTCTAGATGTGGGGGATTCTGCAAAGAACAGAACAATTTGAAATTCTTGCTTTCATGAAGCTTCCATTCTGCCGGGGGAGGTAGATAATGAGCAAGTATAATATAATTGTGGGTCAGATGGTGATAAAGCGACAAAGGAAACATAAATCAAAGAAGGGGTCTGGGGGATGCTGGGATGCTGGGATGCTGGGGATGCTGGGATGCTGGGGAGGGGAGGATGATTGTTTAAAAAGGGTAGCCAGGAAAGGTCACACTGAGAACATGACATCAAACACAGCCCTGCAGGAGGAAGGAGAGGGGGCCATGGGGATATCTTGGGGAAGGAAAGTAAAAATAACAGCAAAACTGATGTGCTAGAAGTAGCCACGGACAAAGTGTTTTCTCATCCCATTTTTACCTGCTGTGGGCTTTAGGCAAGTCACTGTCCTCTCTGAGCCTATTTGCTTCTTTGTAAAATGCAGGGGTGCCACTTGATCCTCTCCAAGTTCCTCTCTGGCTCTCACATCCCAGCATCTGTGTTCTAAGGAGCCTCTTGTGTCTCACACTGAGCAGATGTGTATGTGTATAGATATATATATGCATATGTATACTTATATGTATATAACATACAAAAATGGTGGAAGAAAATTTCTTGAACAGTACTACCCTAATTACATACAACACACTCTAATTAATTTTTCATTTTGTTCTGTTCTACTTCATTTTTTAAAATGCCAATTCCACCCAACTAAATTGATTTCACTATCCATTAATGGGACTTAAGGAACTGTTTACAGACATTGAAATCTTCTTGGTTGTAGAGCTAAATATGGCATCAGCAAAACCACATACTCATCCAAGAGAAAGAAAAGCTAGCTCAGCACTGGAGCCTTCCTCTGCCCTCAGCTTTCAGCAACCCAGAAAGCCCACATGCCCACTGGGGCCTGGAGAGCCAGAGGCGAGACCTGAGTGCTAGTCAGACAGCTCCAGCCTCAAAGCCCAGTGCTGCCACTGCTTTCTTTGACCTTAAGCGAGCTGCACAACACGAGGCTTAGGTTTCTTATCAGTATAATGGAAATGACAATGAGGATTAAATCATAACATATACATAGAACGGCTGGTCAATAGAACGGCAGTTAATACACACTTAATAAATGAGTGATGGTGGTGATGGTGGAGGTGGAGGCAAACTGGAGCAAAAAGAGCAGTTTCATGTCACCAGGCGCTTAGAATCTAAAATGTTAGAGCAACAGAGCTAGATACTGTGAGTGCCAGTAATTATCTTGGTAATATATGTCACAGGAAGAAGAATGTGTGATTCCAAACTGTGTTTCTTTCATTCCTAAACCCTCTCTCTTCCCTCTTCAGCAAACTATATGGAAATGGATTTGAAGAAATACAAAGTCATGCATTCAACGGGACGACACTGATTTCCCTGTAAGTATGTGCTCATTTCCCCAGCTCATGAATAAAAATGAAACATTACTCTGGCTACCAGATCACGTTCAATCTTCAGCAACTAACTCAGGACAAAAATAAACTTTCAAGTGGCTAGTCCTCAGTGTTTCATGCATGTTACTAGGCAACTGGCTGGCTGGAAACCCGAGAGCACCGTGATTTCAAAGATAGATGCAGTCTGGATACATCGAGGTTGACAGTTTGCTGAAATATTCAACACCCTACTTTAGGCTCCTCCATCTCACAGCCTCCATCTCTGGCCCCCTTGCTAAGGCTGATGGTGTGTCAGAGGCAGCACGATTTCAGTGAAGATATTCTTCACCCTGGCCCCACTACAGAGAAATTGGGTAACACCATTTACCAGCCTAATCGGCCACAACAGGCCACTCAGAGTCCCATCTCCCTACTGTGTGTGTTGGTGGCAGGGGGGGCTTTTATGTTCCACAAGGTGAGGGAACCTAGCATTTTCACCACACCCTACCCCAGTCGCCATTGTTAACAGCCTTTCACTCAAAGGAAACAGCCCTACTGTTTCCTTCGTTGTTCCCAACCTCTCCTTCTTTCTACGGCTCCTTTTCTAAAAGTGGCTCATTCACAAAGCTTGTGGGGCTAGGGCCGTTTGAACCATGACAGGGACAGGGTGAGGTGATGATCACCCTACAGTTGTGTATGATAAAAACTAAGAAAAGCTCAACTAAAGCCAAAAGTAAGGAAAATAAACACATGAAAAGGCTTTTATAATAGATAAGTCGTATAAACCATGGTCTATACCAGTGCCTCTCAAACTTTAACAGACGTAAGAATAACGTGGAGATTGTTAAAACAGAGATTCCCAGGCCCCACCCCCAGAGACCTTGATTCAATGGGTCTAGGGTAGGGCCTGAGAATTTGCAGTTTTAACAAGCTCCCAGGAGATGCTGGTGCTGCCACTCTGAAGTTGAGTAGCATAAGCCTAGACAATATACTATTTATTTTAACTATAGATTTTAATCAAAGACCCTATTATACTTATACCATGCTGTTTAGCTTGGTGACCAAGAGAACAGAACTAAGAGTCACTGACTGTGACTCAAACTCCAAACCCATTATTTATCAGCTTGACCTTGAGCAAGTTGCTTAATCTGTCTTAGCCACAATGTTCTCCTCCATCAAATGGAGCTGCCAATAAGCTTGTTTTGAGGACACCCCCACCAATGAAAAGGTCTGTTTTGTATCCTCAGCCTGGCACAGAGTAGGTGCTCATTTATTAATTATTTACTACATTACATGGTTAATTAATTATGGATGAATGATAATTAAATAAGGTTATATTTTTATGCTCTTAGCACAGGTCTGGCATATACTAAGGGCTCAAGAAATGGTAGCTTTTTAAAAGTTGTCCTTCCAATCATGGAGTGAATTTCCCTCATTTTCTTGTTGACTTGAATTTAACAAAGGGTTCACTCTAGCCAACTGAATCTGGTTCTGCCAAATTTAAGTCAGATGCATCTCCCCTCCCGGCACAGTACTCTCAGATGCCCCATTCCATTATCCACTCAACAAGCGTTCGCCAAGCATCAGCTGTGTTTAAGGAACAGGCTATATTTGGAGGGGAAATGAAGATGCATAAGCCCTGGTGTTTGCTCCGCAGGAGCTTACAGCCTAGAAAGAAGCATCTCCAAATGGTACATAAACTGCACTCTAAGTAGTAACTAAAACAGAAGGCAAAGCATGACACCTGCCCTGAAAGACAGAAAGTCCTCCGAGATTGCAAAGGCAGAAGAGAAGGAATTAGAGAAAGCCTCGTGAGAGTAGACTTTGAGCTGGGCCTAACCTGGACAGGCAAAGATGGAAGGAAAATGCATTCTGGGCAGAGGACAACAAAAAGAATGGCCCAGAGGAGGAAGCATGGGATGTGTTCATAGACCAGCAAATAGTATCTTTTAGAAAGTTCTAGATGTGGGTTAGAGACAAAGCAAGAAAGGCCTTAGATGCCAGAGTAAAGAATTTGGACTCTCTACTGTAGAAAATGAGAAGCCATTGAAAGTTCTGGGATGGGAAGTGTGAGAGGGGTGCGTATGGAGGGTTCATCTGTCAGTAGGGAGGACAGAGGGTTGGAAGGGGCAGGCCAGAGATGGAGACACAGACATCAGGGTTATCTGAATAGAGGGGGTGGCTGAAGTCCTTTGTGACTGACGTCACCTGGACAAGGGGAGAAAATAAGAGAACTGAATATAAAATTGGGAGGAAACAAGAGATGAGGAAGAGAAGCCAGAGCAAAAACAGACAGATGTGGGAGGAAGACCTCCTCCCTGGAAGGTCAAGGAAACTAAGACTTCAGGAGGGAGGGCCGTGGCTGCAGTGTCTCAGTGGCTTTGGAGATGCCAAAATAGTTGTGGACATCGAAAACTCCAATTAATCAAGATTCCATATTCCCCACATCTCATTGTTGCGAGAAAGAGGAAACCAAGAACACAAATCAGTTTGCCAAGAACACACATCAATTTCATTCATTTATTCATTCAACAAACACTTATTAAGCATCACCAATATATTAGGCACTATGTTAGGTGCTGAGTCTGCAATGATAGAGTGGAGTCTCCGCCCTCATGACGTTTCTGTTCCAGCAGAAGAGATAGACAAAAAGACAAGTAAATAAATGAATGTATTGCAGGTAGTGATGTGTACCCTGAAGGAAATAACCTGTTACTGAGATCTGCAAGAATACAAGGTGTGACTGATTTTAGGTTAGGTGCTCAGGGATAGCCTCACCAAGGATGTGATATTTAGGCTAAACCTAAAGGATGGCAAGAAGTCCACTCTGGCAATAGTGAGGGGAAGAGCGTTACAGAAAAGGGGAGCAGCATACGCAAAGGTCCTGAGTTGGGAAAGAAAAGAAGTTGATGAGCTCCAGGTATTGAGAAGAGGCCAGTGTGGCTGGAGGGTCATCAGCAAAGGGAAGACAGGTATGAGATAAACCTGAAGACGGAGATGGACCAATGCAGAACTGAGGGGCCTTGGAAAGGAGTTGGAATTCATTCTAAGGGCAAGGAGACCCACTGAAGGATTTAAGCAGGGAAGGGGGAGTAGTTTTCAAGACCATTAAGCAAAATTTTCAAACTATATATTCAGCCCAGTTTCTGACACCTTCCTCGTAAATAGGCTTGTCCAAAGTTGTTCAGAACAATGACACCAAAGCCCTGCAAAGTTCTCAAACCCGCCGGTTCCTAAGGCAGGACAGGGTGGGGAGGATCAGCACCTCCAGGCGGCCCAGAGTCAGTGCCTCCCATCCCCAGAGCACCCCACTTGGGAAAGCTTTGGGTGGAGTTTGGGGGTTCGCCCACTCTCCAAAGGTCATCCTAGCCGTGCACCTCACCTGAAGGGCCATGTCACTGGGAGACACCCAAAGTGCCCCCAGGAAAATGCGGCAGTTGAATTTATTTTTGACCAAGTTACACAATGCAGAGTTATCAGTATACAGAAAGAGCTTGTTTTAATGAAACATGCAAAATGCTCTGTCATGAAATTTGAACAATTACTTTGACCTGGCTGATATGAAGATTATTTGCTCACAGAGCCCGGTTTCAACGAGGTATGACCATAGCCGAACATAATGAAAACAAACCCAATCAGGGAGAAGAGCCATGGAGGTTTGAGAAGGAAAATTTCTTTTGATTTAGATTTTAAACAGCAGTTGACGCTGACAACCTCATCTCTTTGAAAATGGAAATACTCCCAGGGGATGGGCCGATGTGAGACGGGTGCATTCTGATGAAAGGGCTGAGGGATTCCAAGGAAAGTGCTTAGTGGAAGCATGTGGAAAACAGCCACCCAGGGAGTGAGAGGCAGGGGCTTTTGCAGTTAGTAAATGGCAGGCGTGATGTGGAGACATGCAGAAGGACGATAAAGAAGACGTAAAGCTGAGATGAGCCAGGTAATTACCGAGGCATCCCGCAGGGGAGGGGTGGCTGTTGTGCATCCGTTTTGTCGTGTAACACTGTAACAGTGGTGCAGAAGAATCATGTTCCCATACTCAAAATCACCAACGACAGAGGGACACTATGCCTACTGTGTCCAGGGTTTTCCAGAATGCTCTTTCAGTCACTACCCTTCTCTTAGAAAGTGCTCAAAAGAAGGCTGGCAGGCCTGAGCCCAGGACCTCCTCTCCCAGCACCCTTGTCCGCCCAGAGAAGGTCCTGTGTTTGCAGACACCAGCGTCAGGGCCCAGACAGGAAGCTGCTCTGCAGGGTCAGGCTTGAGCTGCTTTAAGGTAAAGGGAACAGAAGCCCTCAGGTAGCCACTGCCCAGAGCAGCTTTTGGCTTCTGCCACCATCTTAAGAGCAGTGGCCCTAACCATTTTGTGTCCACAACATGCACACTTGGCGATGATCATAAACACAGCACAGACCCCGGGGACACCGAGGGTACGGGGCAATTTTCTACACAGGCTGTCCTTCCTCCCCCTTCTCACCCACTGAGAAATGCATATCTGAAAGAAAAGAATGCAATTAACACTGTGAAAGAGGTAACTGAATGGACCCTACTTTTTCTTTTTAAGTAAAATATTTGCAAATTTCGGTATATTACGATTAACAAACGGAGACCTCCAAGGTCAGGGCAGCTGAGAGCCTGAGACAGGGCTGGCTGCACTTCCACCCGCGGCCTTGAACACTAGAGCAGCATTTTCATCCTTGCCCCGCTGTCTGGTGGTAAACCTCCGTAACTCCAGGACAGCAGGGGGTGAGTGCTTTTAGTTGTAGGACAAAGGGTTCCCCCAAGCAGTGGGAAACTGCAGAGGAAAGGTGGGGCCGAACACACACTCCAGCAAGTTCACAATTCACCAAGCACTAGTGTGTCTTTTTTCCACTTTACCTACAGCCCCCACTTGTGCCCTCTGACCTGAGCACCATGCACACAGGCTGGTCCAAACATGTGTGTACACAGCTATGACTGGGTACACGTGAGGTGCAAACTCCACTAAGGATACTGTCCTTCCCCACAGGGAGCTAAAGGAAAATGCCCAGCTGGAGAAGATGCACAACAGAGCCTTCCAGGGGGCCACAGGGCCCAGCATCTTGTGAGTACAGTGCTGCTGCCTCCCCTCCCCACCCAGTGCACCCCAACAGGCCTGCGTAGGGTGTCCAGTCACATTGTCCCCAGCCCCGTTTGTGGGGCATCAGCCTCTGCGTGTGAAAGGGCTTCCATAACAAAGCACCACAAACTGTGGGGCTTAGACGACAGAACAGTATTGTCTCATGGTTCTAGAGGCAAGAAGTCCAAAATCAAGGTGTCGGCAGGGTTGGTTCCTGCTGGGGGCTGTGAGGGAAAGATCTGTTCCAGGCCTCTCTCCTTGCTGCTGGTAGTTCCTCTGGTTGTGGCAGTATGACTCCAATCTCCACATGGCATTCTGTGTGTGTATGTCTGTCTGTCTGTCTCAAAATTCCCCCTTTTTATAAGGATATCAGTCATATTGGATTAGGGTCTGTCCTAATGAGCTCATTTTAACTTAACTACCTCTGTAACAACCCTATTGATAAACAAGGTCACATTCTGAGGCACTGGGGGTTAGGACTTCAACATACGAATCTGGGGAGACAATTCAACCTATAACACCAAATATGGAGGGCCGCCTCATGTGCTGCCCACCTGGCACCCACTCATGACAATCCAAAGCCAGAGATCAGATTTGCCCAGGGCCTTGGCTGGACAGGGCTGCACTGCTGTGTGTCAGACTTTCTGAGGGTGCAAGGAGCAGAGCCAAGTTCCCCCAGTTAATGGGAGTTTAGTGTAAGGACACGTATGAAAATTAAGAGGAACAGCAAACTGAAACAGTCGTGTCCTGACAAAGCCCTGGGAAGCCTGGGACATCTTACAGGAAACAACTGTAGCTGCCATCAGGCCTCAGGGAGAAATGCACAGGGTTCCAGACCCTCTGCAGATCTAACACAGGGTCACCTCAGCACCCTCCACAGAGGCGCTGGCCCATTACTCCCTACCTAGTACACTGTTACGCATTCAACAACCATTGACTGAACACGTCCTGTTCACCAGGCACCACACCATGCTGAAGAGACAGTGGTGAGCAAAACAGCTCTGGTCCCTGCCCCTAAAGAGATTATAGTCATGTGAGGGGGACAACAATAAGCAGGCACATAATTTTAAAATGAGAAAAGTGCTAGAAAGACAGTGAGCAGTGTAACTCAGTTCATCTGTTTGTTTATTCATTCATCATTTATCCAATAACTACTTTATAGGTCCATACTATGTGCTAGCCACAGGATCAGGCATCAGGAAAATAGCAGAGAATATGAAAAGATGAACATCTCTGCCTTAACAGAATGGGGGAAGACAGACAAGGATCAAATAAATAAATAAAATATGTAGTATGCCAGATGGTGTTGGTTACAGAGGAGAAAAATTCAGTTGCTTGGAGAAAAGGAGTTCCAGGGAGGGCAAGCTACCATTTTGAAGAGGATGGTCAGAGAAGACTATCCTGAAAAAGTTTCACCTAAGCAAACATCTGAAAGAGGTGAGGGAGCAAGTGATGTGGATGTCAGCGGGAAGAGCGTTCCAGGCAGAGGGAATGGCAAAAAGAAAGGCCCTGAGGCAAGAACTTGCCTTGTACTATCTGAAGAACAGAAAGAAGGCCAGTGTGGCAGAGTGAGCAAAGAGGAGAGTTCTAGAACGTAAGGACAGAGAGGTTGCAGAGAGCCAGGTCATGGAGGGCCTTGTAGCTATTATGAGGATTTGCCTGTTCTCTAAGTGAGATGAGAAGGCTTTAGGGTTTTGAGCAGCGGAAAGAATGAACTGACCCAGTTATTCTTTATATCCTAGCTCTTGATAGTATCAACTCATGATTCTGCCTACTTTCTATCTCCAACCATTATATAAACTCCAAACTCTATTGACTTAGCTCTTGCCACTATCAACTCCTGACTCTCTCTTCCTGACTCCTATCCACTATCACCTCTTGACCCTGTCTTCTTCCTACCCCACCACTACCAACCTGACTGTATCTAGTTCCTAGCTCCCACCACTATCAACTCCTGAATTCAACTGCTTCCCAGCTCCTGCCAATATCCATGCTGACTCCGTCGACTTCTTATTTCCTGACACCATCAACCCCTGACTCTTTCTGCTTCCTTCCTAACTCCCGCCACTAAAACTCCTGACCTTCTCCATGTCCTGACTTCTGCCACTATCAATCCCAGCTCTTTCTGCTCTCCACTCAACCTCATGACTTCTACTTTATGGCTTCTACTTGTGAGTACAGTGCTCCTGTACTCCTGCTTTCTCTGCCATCTCTCAGCTTCTGCCACCCTACCCTAGGGTCCCTGTCTGTATGTCTCATATTCAAAGTACACCAGACTCAGAATCTTACAGGTTGGTTGAATACTCTCCAGTCTAGTACAGCCTGTAGGCAGAACTCTTACAGCAAGCTGGCCACTCACTTGGCCACTGGACAGCTGAAGAGCGTTGCCTCTGGGCCAGGCACAGGACGTGACAGAGCTGGTGTGGTCACAAGGCACCCTATAAGACAGTCTTCTCGAAGAGCTGCTCGGTCAGCCTGCGTAGAAATTACTGGGAGTACTGCAGGCACCTGCACTGTCCTGTTCAGAACAGTGGGGCCAGACCTACATCTCTTACTTCCCAGACAGTATTCTCATTACACCCTTAGGATTTAAGTGGTGTCTCTAAGGGTTCCTTCCACCCACACCCCAAAAATATTTCCCCCACTGGTCTGTCACTGAGACTGAAAATCTATTATCAGAGATTCACTTCTTTGTAATGAGACCTTGTCATTTCTAGAATCCTAGTTTAAAATATATCCTCACCACCCCCACGCCCCAAAAAAACCAAAAAACCCACGAGGCCTACAAAGAGTCACATTTTCAATCTCTAACACATCTGAGATAATAACTCTATAAAGCAGAATGAGAACACTGGTTACCTAAATCGACAAGGGCACAAAAACAGCAAAAGTGTGCCGCCCGTGAGGCAAATTCTGCTGCCTTTATTGTTCCAGCAAGGGTCTACACTAGTAGTCGCTCCATGTTGTCAAGTTCATCTGCCCATCAATCACCTCCTGACCCCTCCCATGTGCTGGGCAGGAAGTACTGAGGCAGTTTGCTGAGGGAGTTGTGCTGCTGGGGAAGTTTCATGGGGCATCAGCAGCAGCTGCTTAGAAGATGGACAGAATGTTTAAATTCCCGCTGACACCGACTGTTCTTCCTCCTCATATTTAACTTGTTTGGAGTCTTCTTGGACGATGCCTCAAGTCTAGAAAAACCAAGGAATTCAGGACCTTGTTTACAACACTTGAGCTTTCTACACAGTTCTGATGTCATAGCCGAGTGTCTGCTTGCTTTGGACTGATGAATCCGGTTTGCCTTTCGAGAACATGTATTCCTCTTCCCAGGTAGATGATGGCCAATGCCACACAGCAGCTCTTAATAGCATAACCAGCCTGTGCTTCATGAAAACCTACCCTGCAGGGCTTGACCAATCAAAGACCAAGGCATCTAAAGCCCTGAATATTTTCCCCTAGAGTAGAGCTCAAAAGCTGATGTCACTGCATGTGCCTGCTGTCTCATAAAGCAAGTAGTTATTTCACTTCTGCTAAGTGGAAAGAGGTAGAGGGAGGGTGGGAGAGGGAGAAAGGAATCAGGAGAGGGAGAGAGAGAAATGCTAATGAACCTATGGCAGGTACAAGGAGCTATATTCAACCTTGAAAAGAATAATGGGATACTTAGGAGAGAAAAAAAACCACAGCATCACTTTTTGAATTTAGATCCTAATGAGAATACTGAAATGGAGAATTAGTAGAAAGGCAAGATGGAGAAAAGATTCCTTAGAACCTGGAATGATATTATGGTTGAGAAGACATTTCATTCAATGAATCAAAGGTACAAAATAAATAAATAAAAAGCCTTTCTCTCTTTTATTTTTCAGGGATATTTCTTCCACCAAACTGCAGGCCCTACCTAGCTATGGGCTGGAGTCCATTCAGACGCTAATTGCCACATCATCCTATTCTCTAAAAAAATTACCGTCAAGAGAAAAATTTACCAATCTCCTGGCTGCCACACTGACTTACCCAAGCCACTGCTGTGCTTTTAGAAACTTGCCAACAAAAGAGTAAGTAAAACACAAAAGGTAAAGCCTGCCAAGCTGTGGCAAACTCAGCTTTGAAAATAGTCAATTGGTTGACAGCTCCCTGCCCCTTCACTCCCTGCCTTCTAGAACAATTCTGTAGCCATGGGGTCACTTTCAGATAGACAAGAAGAAAACAAACCATCTTGTTTCCTCCAAAACCATCAGTTTTGGAAACTGATTCCAAACAGCCAATTTAACCTGCAGCTAGAAGACCTTTGTAGCCTCTGGGCTAATTGAATTATAGCCTTAAATTAGGCTATAATTGCAGTTGCAAAATGGAGTACAAAACTGACATCTCAAAGATCAATTAGCTCTAGTCCTCATCAGAAAGCAGCATTTTTAAAGAAGTGGGGGAAGTAGGCTCAAGAGGGTAAATTTTACCTAACATCTTAATCTTTAATAAAAAATGGACACAAAACACTACAAGTTTTGCGTTTTGTTGCTGTTGTTTTAAGCTATTTCTCTCCCAGCAGAAGACCATCTTCCATTTCAGAACTGAATCCTAGCTCCCTAATGATGAGCTTAGTGTGGGAACAGAAAAGGCACAAGTTCCTGGCTGGTTCGTGTCCAGTGGGGGCATCTGACCTATTCAACTGGTTCACTTCAATCCAGAATGGAATGACAGGGTGTGCATGATTTCATTCTTTCCTTAAAGCATTGTTTTCCAGACCTTTTTGACTGAGAGGCATACTAAAAGATACCTTTTTTACATTGCAACCCAATACACATCACATATGTCACTGAAAAAAAAAAAAGCAATCCTTAACTTTTTATACATGATACACTCTGATATTTTCTTGTCAATTTCACTCTATTTTATTTCACATTTGTTTGTTTTTAATGCTACCCTTGATGCAATCTGTTGTTTTCATGACCCGCTAACAGGTCACAACATACAGCTGGGAAAACATTGCCTTATAGGGATATCACGCAGCCTAAAAAGATAATCTCAATCAATTAATTAGATGAAGCACTGAGAGAATGACACCAGGATGCTGCTGTCTTTGTTTGGAATCAACCCTTTTATAATTAATCACCCAGCCTGTATTATTATATACCTGCTCTGTGCCTTGCATGGGTACATGCAGGATTATCCAAAGCTTTTGAGGTAACCAAAAGGACAAACCACTCCCATGCTCAGAGAGCCATTAAATGAGCTTCAAAGAACATTAACTGAGCACCTACCACGTTTCAACACTGTGCAAAAGTCTAAAGATGCAAAGATGAGTGAGAGCTCATCTCAACCCTCACAGAGTCACAAACAGCTATGTGGGGGCAACACACATGAAAGCCAATGTTTAAGTTCAATACAGCAAATGTTATGATAGAGCTGAGAACAGAACAGAGTGTTCCAGGAGCACAGAGGAAGAGCTTCTAAATGGCAGCAGGGCTTATGGAAGGCTTCCTGAGGAAGTAACTTCTGCTGAGTCTTGAGAAACAGGTAGGAGTCGGCTAGACATGTGTGGGGAAAAGCATGCCAAGAAGACAACATAGATTGTGTGAAGACACAAAGGCAAGAAACAGTAGGATGAAAGTCAGTGAGAAAAGCTGAAGCAAGTACACTTATGGGTCCATGGAGGAAGATAAGTGAGGAAAGGAAACCCGGGAGAGGTGGACTATGATGGGCTCTGAGTGCCACGCCAAGTTGCTCAGAGGATGGGGAACCCCTGAAGAATTTAAAGCCAAATTATTCAAATTTGCTTTTGTAAAATATCACTCTGGCAGCAGGGTGGAGAATGAGTTAGAAGTGAGCAAACTGGTGAGAGACCAATTAGGAGAATTACACAGACACTGGTTTATGATAAAGCTGATTCTGGACACCTCCAATTTTGTGGCAAAGAAGTCACCTCCCTTCTGAAATTACTGACATATAAAAACTTCAGTTCAGGGGTTTTTTATTCCAGTAGATGAAAGAGACTAGCTCTGGGTAAAAAAAAAAAAAAAGTGGGATGGAGGGTGATCATGAAATTGTGGGCCAGTATCAAAGTGAGATGGGAATGTAGCATGCAGAGGTTATTGTGATTGAGATTACAAGCATTAACTGAGCCCGTCCGTACCCCTAAAGCTCCAGACCTTGGACGCTAGTGAGGATGGAGCAGTGAAGCTGGGCCAATGGAATGTTTGTGCAAATTCTGAGTCAGCCCTCTGCCCTGCAGCTGCTGAGCCTGGATAACGCACAGCTGCCTGGGCAGATGGCCCCAAAGACCTCCTTGGTATCTATGATTAAAATTTCAAAAAAGATAAGAGTAGATGGAACCCAGTGCTATCATCTGAAGGCCAAGAACAACCACATTTCCTGTTAACTGTAGATTGGTTCACACACACTATCTCGAAGTGTCAGATACAGAGCCAGCATTAAACATACACACACACATAATTTGATCCAAATTTGAAGATTTATAATTCTCACCCAAAATAACAAGCTGATTAATTTTTGAAAGTGAGTCCAATAGGTCAAATTGTTCTGATATATTCTCCACCTCCCTGCTTTTGTACAAAGTCATTCCTACAAGGAATTGTCTTATTAATATTGGAGGAGAAGAATGCAGCTCGCGTCGCTTCATTTCTCCTCCCTCCTCAGGAAAGGCTGAAGCTCTCACAGCCTGCTCTCCTTTCTTCCGTTTCTTCACTCAGTTTTCCTTTGTGCCTCCCTTTGGTTTCATCTTAGGAATACAAGCCTTCTTTTAATTTTTTGACATTTTCCCCCTTTCCATAGGCTAAACTTCTTAGAGAAAAAGATGGAGGAATGAGAATCACCCACATATATTTCTGCACATGAGCAAAAAAAAAAAAAATGCAGAAAATTCACATAATAATTTCAGGTCCAGTATCTTCAAATCCTTACACAAGAGATTCCCAGCTACAATTCAAAGCCATGAATGGTTATTTGTTCATCAAGGCCGATGTGGTGAGGAGAGTGAGGAAGAGCAAATGTTAATATACCAGAAAGGTAGCTTTTAATGAGCACTGAAAAATCCGTGATTCAGTATGACAAATTTAAGTTTTTTCATCTCTAGAGCCCACACAAAACACTTGGCATTCAGAAGCATTTTATCTAAGCTGGAAGCGCTCTAATGACAATTCGGAAGCCTTTACTGTCTCCCCAGGAAGCATTTCAGTTAGGACAATGGTGCAGAACACGACACTGGTGTAATAGGTAAAGAATTTGGATGAACAAAGCATAAACAGACATGATCAGGTTTAGTTTAAAGACCAAAAGCTCAACTGCCTTTTTTTTTCACCTCTTCTCTTTCAGACAGAATTTTTCATTTTCCATTTTTGAAAACTTTTCCCAACAATGTGAAAGCACAGCAAGGAAACCAAATAATGGAACACTGTAAGTATTTGCATGCAAAGAAACTCAGGGAGCCATATCTCATTCTGTGTGCACCTTATTATTATCAGTGCCAACTATTTTCTTTTGATAAAAGTCTTGGTTGGGGGCATGTTTGCAAAGCATTTTATAATAGCTTTAAAGTGAGAATTTTTCTTTGTAAGTGACATCCAGTTGATCAGGTATCTCTTTCAACTGGTCAAAAAAAAAAAAAAAAAAAAAACGCTTTAAAAAATGTACCTACATGTTCATTCTACAATTATATTAAATTCTCCTCAGAAATTAAAATTTTATTTGCAGGTATTTTGATGTCACTAAGGGCTTGTTTAAGTCATAGCTTCATTTGTAGGAGTTTTCACTAGTCACATGGTCAGCACTCCACAAAGATTAACTGATTGTAGACATGGCTTCTCGAAGTAGCCTCTGCCTTCAAAGAGACTTAGGCCACCTTGACCACTATGCTCTGGAGCTTAAACTTATTCATCTTGAATGCTATCACTAACATACACTGGATGGGAGCTATATTTCTATTCTATTGACTGATCTTTTTAACATTTTTCCTGGCTGTTTGGCATTTCACATACCTTCAAATGTAAAAGAGCAAGCCTCAGAAGATAATCCCAGTGTCCCGAGGCCACATTTACTGCGACTTAGAAGTTTCATTATTCCCCCCATGTGTCCTTCAGGCTACAAACCCAGATGCCCTTCTAGGATACCCTGCCAATCTCCATTCTCTCTTCTACATCTTTTCTCTTTTTGTCCCCCATCAATCTGCAAGTTATCCAGAGGCAGCAGGGTGAAATGATGGAAGGACCCTGGGCTTTGGGGCTCCTCAGGGTTGGATATGAATCCTTGGCAGTAATGTTCCTGTAACACTGGGTATCCCTGGACAATACTTACCTTTTTTGAGACTTTTTTTCCTCATCCATAAGAGACAGCAGAAATATCACTTGGCTTTCAGAATTGTGAGAGTGAAGGGAATTGTTGAAGAATGTGACAGCTTCTAGGGTACATTATAAATATTATAGTCTGTATTCTTCTTTTCTTTTTCTTTCATTTAGGTCTGACACCATCTATCCTCCAGTGTTCCTTTCCTCACCCTTTCCACTCTTCTCTCTTGATATTCTCTCCATCGGTGACCTTCCACATAACTCTTTTGCAACCATATGGCTTTTTCCTCTCATCAACAGGAAGCTGCTTCTGGGTACAAGTCAAGGGTAGCACCGAGGGGTGGCTTGAGGGAGGGGAGACTTTAGCCCACTCTCAATAATCCTCAGCAACCCCCACCCCAAGCCTTCCCCAGTGAGCACACGATCCTGAGTTTGCTATGCTAACACTGCTTTAAAACTAGCCTCCTAATCTCCAGCATCCCCAAAACTACTTGAAATTAATCTATGATCTAAATAAAAAGAGTGTGCTTCCTGCAAAAACATTTTTTATGATAAATCTTCTTCCCCCCTTCTCACCAGATTGCTATTTCTGAGTCCCTGGAGTTCAGAAATTCTAGAGCTAGCCACTAAGCCTTACCTACTCTCCCCAAGACATCATGGTGTCCTTACTGCTATGACTGGCCCCATTGTCCTCCTAAAACTCCTGTCTTTTCTCCCTTCATTGTTCATTGTGACCGGGGCAGTGGTGCTACTGCTTCTCCTTCCTCTGACTCAATATTGCTCAGCCCGTGCGAGTCCATTCACACACCCTGCATAGCTTTCAGAACTAAAGACAGCTCCGTGCTGGGTTTGTCAATAAGCATGATGCTGCCCTCAGGAGCCATCCCAGGACACAAATGCAAGTAGCAGCAGGTAGGTATTTGGTCTTAAGACAAATCACCAAGGAGAAAAACTGCTAGACATATGCCCAGGAGGGCAAAAAAAGAAAGGGCAAAGGACCAGGGGAGTGGGAGAGGGAATATGTTTGACCTCTTATTAATATAAATTTATTCAGAAATCATAGCAGGATTTTTAGAAGCTTTGAATTAGTGCTTCTAGCAGCTGAAGTCATTTTGAGAAGGGGAAAGGAGTAAGGGAAATTAAGGCATTAATTAAGAGAAATTAAGTTTTCACCTGATTTAATAAAGCCATTATTTTGTAGGAATCATCCAGGGAACTTGCTTAAAATGCAGATTCCTGGGCCCTGTCCCTGGAGAGTTTGATCCAGGATTTGAGGTAAAGCCAGGAATCTGCATTTTAACAAACACTCTGGGGATTCTGATGGCAGTGGTCCAAGGACCACTCTTTGAAAAACACTACGAGACAATGAAGTCAAGGAAGGACCCCTGGACTAAAGATATGAAGACCTAGTGCTGAGGGACCTGAGGCAAGTCTCTTATCTCCTTTAATCTAGTTTCCTTACCAATAAGACGATGGGTTCAATGAGATGTTCTTCACGGACCTTTCTAATGCTAAGAAATGACCTTTTTCTTTAGTCATTCTTTATAACCACTCTGTCTCTTTTAAGATTAAAAAAAAAGGTAATTATATTGATGTGCATGAGATGAGGACAAACAAATGTGCTACTTACATTTAATAATAAAGCAGATGAGGTTCCTATGCAGTCTTCTGTGCCTAGCAGCACAGTTCCAAACTGATTTCTATGATATTCTAGCACCTTTTTGGAGTCCTAGGTCATAGATTTCTTTTGCTTTTTTACCTCTGTGTTCTTCCCTTCAGTAACTGTATTGCTCAAATATGTCATTTCATCCACTCACTGAATTGGGTACATTCTTCTTTATTCAGAACATGAGAAACTAAGTTTTAAGATAGAGAAAAATACTCTTTCAATGTGTAAGAAATCCTAAGGTGAAATATATATTTGTAATGGTCCTGACAGAAAAATTATGCCCATTTCTCCAGCTCGCAAGATTATATTAGCAGACTGTTAGCAAAGGGGAAATTTGTTGAGCCTGCATGCATCATATTGTATGCACTCATTGTCCCTATATCCTCTCAGAGCCAGGATCACTCGGGTTTGTTCATTCCACAAACATTTATTGAATGGATACTCTGAGCCAAAACTATGTGAGGCACTGAGATTTCATAAATAAATAAGACGTAGTCCCCTAGCTTCAAGGAGCTAATACTATTGAAGAGGACAGACACGCATCATCAACACGGTTTGATGATTACAATAGTACTGAAGTGCAGCTATGGCAGAGAGAAGAGGGGATAAATTCCCTGGAGGTGTAGAATGAAAAAAGGCTTCACAGAGGAGCTTATCTTTAAGGATGAGGAGGAATTCACCAGAGTGGTGAGGAGAGGAAGGGAAAAAGAAGAAACAGCACATACAGAGGGATCAAACAGCAGAACTTATTCTGAGAGCCACAAGTCTTTCATGTGACCAAAGGGAAGGATGTACACAGGATTTGCAAGAGATAATTATAAGAATCCCTAACATTCACTGAACATTTAATATGTGTCAGGTGCTATTCTAAACATCCTACATGAGTTCATGCATTTAATCCTTAGCACAACTCTAACGAGGGAGGTATGATTATTATCCCTATTTGGCAAGTGAAGAACTTGAGACACAGAGATGTTAAGTAACTCTCCCAGGTTTACAAAGCTTATAAAGACTGGAGCCTGGGCAGGCTTGCTCCAGAGCCTATGTTCTGAATTGTGCAGCACTACTCCTTCTTAGAGATGAGACTGGAGAAGGAGGCAGAACCCAGACAAGGAGGGACCTGGAGATCATCATAAGGAGTCTGGATCTTATCCCACAGCCAATGAGAACCTAGGGAAAATTTGAATTAATAGATTTGTGCTTAAGAAAGGCCATTCCAGGAGGAATGTACAGATGGACTGGGAGAGGGCTAAAATTGGAGGAAGGATACCAGGAAGAAAACTAATGTCACTGTCCTATAAGAGAGGATGCAAACCTGAACTCAAGCAGTAGCAGTAGGGTTGGGAGGAAGGAAGTGGCAGAGGTGGGACTGTTCCCTCACTAGGGACAGAATCCCTCTTCAGTCCACTCTCTGAATTTGACTCATACCCCTAAGAAGTATCTGTTTTCACCATTTCTTCCTATTGTCCACGACCATATTCTTCCTCTGCTCCTAGGTTTCTAGTAATCTATCTTTGGCTTGGTTTCTATTTCTCAACTGGGCTATCTGATTAGCCAAGGACTTAAGTGTAAGCAAGTCCACCAGTAGCTGACAATCCTCAACAATGCCAACCTTCCAATCCCATTTGTCTTCTACCACAGACAAACAGCTTGATAGCAGTTTGGTTGGCAATGAAATGAGATAAATAGCTAAGAAAATGACAAGAAAGTATTCTTTTAGATTTAGCAAGCATATATTGTGGCTCTAAATTTGTTTTCCAAAGAAAATCATCCTCTGTAAACAGCTTCATTAAGTCTTTGCATCAAGGTGTAAAATCTATATATATAAAGAAGTCTAAATGGCTTTTCATTCCCTTCTTTACAAACTCCTACATCAATTCAGAGTTCTCAGATAATTTAACAAATAAATGTAAGACTGAGGCTATTCTGGCTTTGTTTCCTTTTGTTTCTTAGGCTTTAAGAAAACACTAAGGATGATTCTTGAATTTTTTTTAATACCCCAAAATGATAAGAAAAAAATCTGTTAAGTTTACATTGAGCCAAAATATTCTTCTTACAGTTATTCTGCCAGCTTTGCTGAGAGTGAACTGAGTGGCTGGGATTATGACGATGGTTTCTGCCCACACAAGACACTCCGATGTGCTCCTGAACCAGATGCTTTTAATCCCTGTGAAGATATTATGGGCTATGGCTTCCTTAGGGTCCTGATTTGGCTGATTAATATCCTAGCCATCATGGGAAATGTGACTGTCCTCTTTGTTCTCCTGACCAGTCATTACAAACTAACAGTGCCCCGTTTTCTCATGTGCAATCTCTCTTTTGCAGACTTTTGCATGGGGCTCTATCTGCTGCTCATTGCCTCAGTTGATTCCCAAACCAAAGGCCAGTATTATAACCATGCCATAGATTGGCAGACAGGGAGTGGGTGTAGTGCTGCTGGCTTTTTCACTGTATTTGCAAGTGAACTTTCTGTCTACACCCTCACAGTCATCACACTAGAAAGATGGCACACCATCACCTATGCTATTCAGCTGGACCAAAAACTACGATTAAGACATGCCATTCCAATTATGCTTGGAGGATGGCTCTTTTCTACTCTAATTGCTATGTTGCCCCTTGTGGGTGTCAGCAATTACAGGAAGGTCAGTATTTGCCTCCCCATGGATATAGAAACCACTCTCTCACAAGTCTACATATTAACCATCCTGATACTCAATGTGGTAGCCTTCTTCATCATTTGTGCTTGCTACATTAAAATTTATTTTGCAGTTCAAAATCCACAACTGATAGCTACCAACAAAGACACAAAGATTGCTAAGAAAATGGCAGTCCTCATCTTCACCGATTTCACCTGCATGGCACCTATCTCTTTTTTTGCCATTTCAGCTGCCTTCAAAGTGCCCCTTATCACAGTAACCAATTCTAAAGTTTTACTGGTTCTTTTTTATCCTGTCAATTCTTGTGCCAATCCATTTCTGTACGCGATTTTCACAAAGGCATTCCGAAGAGATTTCTTTCTGTTGCTGAGCAAATTTGGCTGCTGTAAACATCGGGCTGAACTTTATAGAAGGAAGGATTTTTCAGCTTATACCTCCAAGTGGAAGAATGGCTTCACTGGATCAAATAAGTCTTCCCAGCCCACCTTGAAGCTGACCACATTGCACTGCCAATATACAGCTGTCCCAGACAAGACTTGATGTAGAGAGTGTTAACTGTTATATCAGTAACCACATTACTGGATTGTACTTAAATATGTAAAAAATTATCTGTACCAGTAACTTTAACAAAGAGTTGATTTTAGGAAATTATTTATTCTTGGGCACACTGGGCAAAGAGAGACCTCTACACCTAGCTCAAAGTGTGGTCCATGACCACTGCCAGTCTAAAAACTATTTGGCATTGATACATGATGACATACAATGCAGAAGCTGAGAGTGTTTAGAAACTAACAGCAATTTTGACGGAGTAATTTTATGTCTGTTGAATCTAGTATTTAAAAAATGAGGTAGTATTTTGCATATCTTTGATATTTTTCTCTCATTTCATCTTTGTAGTAATTTTTGTTACATTTTACAAAAATATTAGTCCATAACAGATTGGAAATTTAAAATAACTAGTCCTTTTCTTCAGACAGTTTGAGAAACACATTCTAGAGATGCACTGTCCAATCTGGTAGCCCCTAGCCACATGTACCTAAATTAAAATTAAATTAAAAATGTAGCTTCTCAGTTGCACTAGCCACATTTCAAGTGCTCAATAGCCACACGTGACCAGTGGTTATCATATTGGACAGCATAGATAGAAAACATTTTCATCATCACAGAAAGTTCTATTGGATAGTGTTGTTCTAGAGACTTTTATCTATCCCCTGTCTAGGTTCTACTATTTAAAATTTAATGTAAGGCAAGCAACTAAAGGCACATTTCAGCCTATTTTCTTGGTTCAGTGTTTAACCTCTAAAGAGCAATGAATCATTGAAGAGTACATTGTAAACACCTTATGGGGAGGAATCCTGTCTCAGTTTTGTGTGCCTGTCTCCTAGCTCAGGATCTTAGCACTGGTATGCATCAAATGTGCTGAATTACACTGAAGTTATGAAATCTATAAGGAAAAAAATGTTTTTTTTCCTTTTAGGGTCCCATCTTTTTATTTAAAAGAAAACTTTGAATATTTAAAAATATTTAACTTTCATCATTTCTATCCTCTGGGGGATATAGAAAAAGATATCCAATATTTGCTAGAAACTATTTTTATTTATCAGAACTGACTCTTACAGGATAACGAAATTATGGTTTTAAGTGCAGTGTTTTTTGTATGCTCCTTTGACTTTTTAAAATAAATTTTATTGAAAGCTTATTATATGCCAAACATTTTGATAAGTATTTTACATAATTTAGCCCATTTAATCTTCATAAAACTATGATGCAGATAGTATTCACATTTTAAAGTAGAGGAAAACTATTACAATTTGCCCAAGTTCTCAAAACTAAGAAAAGATTCAACCAATAGGATTCAAATTCAAAGTTCTGACTCAGGATCCCAGCATCTTAACTGCTGTGTTTTACTGTCTTCCATATTGGTAAACCAGTGATCCAAAGGTTTAATATTTGCTTAAAGTTTCTTAAATTTTCCCAAACATTTTATTGTGAATATTTCAAACGTACAGAAAAGTTGAAAGAATCATATAGTGCACACTCATACACTTAGATTCAACATTTTACTGTATTGGTTTCATTACATATCTATATAATTATCTACCCAGTATTATCTATCCATCCATCACTTCTGATGCATTTTAAAGTAAGTTGCACATATCAGTACTCACCAGCCCGAAACACTTCAGCATGTTTATCATTAACCAAGGTTCAATATTTGTTTATACTTTTAGGTAAAATTTACATTAATGAATTTTGAGAAATGCATACAGCCACATGACCCAAAACTTCTATGAAGACATAGAACACTATCACCCTCAGAAAGTTCCCTCATGCCCCTTCCTAGTTAATCCCTCACCCCCACCCCGCAGAGTAACAATGGTTCTGATTTTTTCCCCATAGATTAGTTTTGTGTGTTCTAGAACTTCATATAAATGGAATCATACATTATATACTCTTTTGTGTAAGGCTTCTTTGACTCAACACAATGTTTTTGCTATTCATCCATGCTGCTGCTTGAATCAGTAGTTCATTCCTTTTTGTGGCTGAGTAGCATTCCATTGTATGAATATTAACACTGTTTTCCATTTTCCTGTCAATGGATATCTGGACTATTTCCAGTTTTTAGCTTTCCTTTGACATTTTATTAAATAAATATATAGGCATAACTATACCCTCTTCACATTTAGTCTGCTTTCAATCTTTATGCCATTGGGCAAAGTGATTCAAAATAGATTATAAAAGATTAAAACTCTGCAAAATGTCTCTTCTCTGTAATGTGTTTTTCACATTTCTGACTTTGCTACTCCTTAGCTGGTTACTTGTCTTCACTCAGATAAAGTCCTCTCTCTTTCAAGCTAGTGTTCTAGAGTTTGTCTCAGTGATATGAGAGAATATTAGTCATATTGCTATATACATACACAATAAACTTTTTGATTCATACATGAATCCCAGAACCAAATCAACTAAGTAAGCAAAAAAGCAGAAAGTAAAACAAAAGAAAAATAAAATATATCCTTGTGAAGAAACTTTACTTAAATTACATACTCTTAAATATTGTTTGAGCTCAAGGTACTTATATTCTCAAAATAACTTTTATGGCCTTTTCCACAAATGTTGATCTTTATTTTCCAAATTACAATTTAAGTTTTAATATATAGAGTCATAGTTTACTATCTCCCTCACTCTCATATCCTTTCATCCACTAAGACCTGCCAGATATTCCTTTGAATTGTCTTCCACATTAGTCCTTTATTTTGTATTTCTACTGTCACGGGCCATTTCCCCTCACCTCTGGAGTCCTACTATATCCCCCTCATTTTAATTCATGTCCAATCTTTTCCATGTCTACACTCTCATACCCATCACCACTAATTAATCTTCTTAAACTCCTATTTCATATTACTACATACCCACCAAAATCCTGAAGAGTTCATCAGAATGAAGGAATTTAAGTTTTAGCTCCTAGCCTAACATTCAAAGAGATCCAGAATCCATCCTCAAATATGCTCACTTCATCTCCTGTATTTCTACATGAACCATATTGTTCCACTTACTTTTCCCTAGCCATGCCCTATCCACCTCCATTCTGGCACCCAAGTCACCCTTACCACCTGGAATACCTTCTTCCTGACCTGTCCTCCTTCTGCATCCTTTAAGACCCCAGCTATAAATTTATCTTTTTATCAAGCTCTCCTTAATCCACCCCCTCCCTAATCCACAATAGTCAACACAGCTCCTTTACCTGAAATAAAGTAGGGCATAAATAATAAATATGTAACCCATAATGGTTTCTCTCGTTGGACTTCTTCATCACTTGTCATCTGTGTCACTCATTTGTCTTTTATTCTAACACTGCTGGATATTACTATTATCTTTACATGCATCTCTCTTATTTCACCTATGTTATAAACTTCTATATCTGTCACAGAGTTTTGCACATAGTAGGTGATTAATAATTTTTTTAGCTGATTCACTTTTACAACTGAAATACAAAACAATCTTTGTTAAGGAGCATTTCCTTTATGAGATGGTCTCATAGAAAGCATATGTATTCTTAATCTGTATAATCTCTCATACATATTCATAAAAACATCAAATGCTCAAGAAATTTATGTTTCTATCTTGCATTTTTTAGCCATGTTTGAAATTATCACTGGTAGGTTGCAAAATGACCAAAAAGGGTTAATCAATCTGGAGTAATTCATCTAAACTTACAAAATATTTTTAAAAGACATTTTGTCCTCCATGCATAATATTTACTATAAAGGACCCGGTTTTAGTTTCCTCAAAAATGTATTAAGTCCAGGTGTAAATTAAGAATCTTTATGTCACAAAGATTTCAATAAATGTGTTCATAATTGGAAATAATCTTTTCTTCGAAATGTGCAATATTTTTATTAATATTGAGTTTCTTCCTAAGAGTTATTACCATGGGCTTCCTATTTATAATTTAGCTTTCTAGTTATAAATCACAAAGTTCCCACTTGGCCTAGAGTTTATTTACATGGAAAACAATATAACATTAATCTGCTAACATGAGTGAAAAGAAAATCCCCCACTAAATTCCCCTCCGCACCAACCCAATTAACTGTTGCTATTCATTCTAAGGTTATTAGTTTTCCTACACAACTTAAATAACTGAAACTGAATGCCTCGGCCAGAATTGGAGTCTCATTGCCCTGTCGAGTCTGAGCTGTACAGATGATTATTTACACATATTATAGCACATTGACTAAAATAGGTAAAGAAGGTATTCCAGGCAAGGTCAGTTGATCAGTCCCTCAGAGACTAACTGTGCAAACTCAGCAAGATCTTCTTAGCCAACAGGGAGAGGTGGAAAGTATGTAAGGATGTAGGATGTGAACATGACAAAAAGTTTGAATTAGGAATTGTAATACATGATACTTTCACAAATTTTGTTTTTGTTTTCATTTTTGCTAAGGAAGATTCATCCTGAGCTAACATCACTGCCAATCTTTCCCTTTTTGTATGTAAACCATCAAGACAGCATGGCCACTGACAAACAAGTGGTGTAGGTCTGTGCCCAGGAGCTGAACCCAGGCCACCGAAGCGGCGCACACCAAACTTAACCACTAGGCCACTGGGGCTGGCCCCACAAATTTTGTTTAACTAAGCAAACTGTAACCTCTATAATAGAGACACTTTCTCCACCTATAAAAGGGTATGGGATGACATTGACAGGGATTGTATTTATAAGAACTGAGAACCTACCTTATGATATTTTGTTATAATATGTGACAAGAAATGTTTAGTTTGGACATGAGGAAGAGGTTCCTGAAGGTAAAAGTGATATCGTATCAGAGCCAAGTCTTGGATAAACTCCACCTACTTATAGGGCTTAAAGAATAATCTTCTTTTTTAAAACTGATTAAGATTTGTCTCAGTCTATCTTTAGCTCATGAGTTAAAAATATTTTTTTAACTATGAGTCATGACCATCAATGAGTAGTGAAATCAAAAAAAAAATTTTAATGCAACAGAACAGAATTAAATAGAAAACATAGGAGGCCATCATGTGCTAAAGGCAAGCATGACTTTCTGAAACTTTTGTTTCATTTGTGTTATGTATGTACATACATGCAAACATATACTGGTTGCTAAAGTATATTTCTTAGTGTGGATACTGCCCCCAAAATTTTGAAAGCCACTGGTTTAGACTACTTTCCAAGACTAAGATTTTTTTCTAGTATTATTTGAGACTAATAAAAGGGCACCAGGTCCAAAATAATTTAGGGAATCTCAATTCTCTCTTCAGTCACCACCAAAACTATCATTATTTATATTAGCATGCAAGGATAATTATTTGGGCTTTGTTTTATTTTGTGGTAAGCCTACTTTTAAACTGATTTTTTTTTTTGGATTTTTAAAAGATCAGGGGCATGAGGGCATGCAGAGACACAAATGGGACAACCGTGACTTTTATCTCTAATGATAAAATGTAACACATAAATAAAGAGGATCAAGATTATAATAATGTTTGTAATGTGCCATTAAAAAAATCACTGAAGCAAAGTGATATTTTAAAATTCACAGTGGAAAGGAATTTTAGAAACATCTATTATGGCCTCTCCTAAACACTTAAATCAACACATTAAACTCTAATTTCCAAGTGAATGCACTTTGTCAATAAATTCAGCCCTTAATTTGCAATAAGGCTTGCCTAAGGCAAATATAGAGTGACTAGGTGAGCCTGGGAGGAAGAAAGCAGGAAGAAGACTAGACAGTGTACTCCTCAGCCCTCGAGGGGGCACATTTCAGGGATAGATATAAAAAATAATTGCCCTCTTTTTGCCTTCCTTGTAGAAAAGATGGACATTTCATGGTAGGCAACATCCATGAAGAGAACTCATAGTTCCTGAAAGTTCTCAAGAGCCACAAAAGGCTCTAGCATAGCAGAGGTGGTAGAGAAAAGGATAATCACTCTGAGGAACCAAATCCTCAGGCAGCTGCCAACTTTAGGCCAAAGACAGTACCCCATACATGTTGTCCAAGGCCCAGAAGAGATTTACCCAAATTTTGAAAAGATCTATAAGTAGCTGGGTCTCTTGGGTAGGACAGGACAAGTGTTAGAACAAATTAAACTTTTCAAGTGGGGTTGCCTCCAAAAAAGGAATGAGGAATTCACCCAGTGACCAGCCAGATCCAGGCATCTAATTCTTAGGGAGATTTCAAAGACCATCACCCACTTATCCGAGCACTCCTTTCTGTGTAAGAGTCACTGTCCTGGAGAATACCATTCAGGCCAAAAACAGAGATCCTAGACTTAGAGACCAGGTATACACCACCCATTAAGAGAAGCAGAAAGATGGGGAAAATGTTCCTTTGAAGGATTTGATCTACTAATGAAGAGAGAATTATGAAATAGTTTATTGGGACATTAATTTGCTTTGTTTTTATTGCTGCAGGAAAACGAAAGGTATTTGTGTTTTACATGTTGTTTTCTCTCCCTGACTTTAAGACAGTTATCCAGGTCTTCTTGTCTCAAATGAGATTACTTGGCCAAAGCAAAAGGTTTCTGAAGAGTACATCTCTTCTTGACTTTTGTTTTAGAAAGCCTAAACTCAAATGAGGGAATTCCCTTTTACAGAAAAGAAAGAGAGATAGTGTCTTTGAAAGGGAAAGAGTATGCAATGGGGTCTTCCATGTAAGAAAAATAGAAAAACTTAGGGAGAGAGGAAAAATCCACCGTGACTAGGAAGAAGACAGAAGTCTGAAGTTTCAAGAAGTAGAATAAGAACCTAACCCAACTCCCTTACAATTCCCCAGGGAGACAGCAAGATACCAGATGAATGGCCTGGTCACATGATAAACCAAGAGAGGCTGATCCTTAGCTCCAGGGATCCTGATCTCGTCAAAGATTTCCATGTTCACGTGTGGTACAGGCTCAGCAGATGCCTCTGCCTCCCATCTGGGCTCGTATAATCAGCATATTGCTAATGACAAGTGTAGACTGAAGACCCAGAGAAACCTTGAACATCCCACTACTTAAAAGACTCTCCACGATCTTCTGTAACCTGTTTTGGTGAGAGGTGGTAGGAACACCAGCCCCAATCTAACAACCGATAGTGACTTTATCATGAAGGGGAATTGGAGCTTGATGTAAATTTTACTTCAGGATTAAAGAAATGTGACATTTCTTCATGCTCCATCACAACTGATGTATCTATGCTTTGTAAGGGTATAGATAATGAGGGTTACAAAAAAAAAAAGAAACCCTGTTAAAACAGTAAATGAAAGAAATATAAAATTGTGTATTTGTATCTGAATCTGACTTATAATTTTATTAAGTGTCATACAGTGAACTAAAAATTTGAGCAGCTCTGTGCTGGACTATATTTCAAATAAAAATGTTTCACAATATGTAATATAGTCCAACTGTTGTTTATGATGTATTGAGCTCATAAGTTTTACCACTCTGCATCACCAATGGCTCTTGCAAATACATAGTCTCTCCCTCCAAAACACATAATACCATCTTTCAAATAGAATTTCCATTTGTTCTTGCTTCGATGAATCTAGAGAAAGAGAAATAGTCTAAATTAATTAATTTTATAAGCTAAAAGATCATTTACATTTCTTTGCATATCACATGGGATTATTCTGACCCTAAATGGAGTTCTTTAAAAATAAGACTTCCTGGGGTTGGCCTGGTGGTACAGTGGTTAAGTTCATGCACTCCACTTCAGTAGCATGGGGTTCACCAGTTCAGATCCCAGGCGTGAACCTACGCACCACTTATCAAGCTACACTGTGGCAGGTGTCCCACATATAAAGTAGAGGAAGATGGGCACAGATGTTAGATCAGGGCCAATCTTCCTCAGCAAAAAGAGGAGGTTTGGTGGTGATGTTAGCTCATGGCTAATCTTCCTCAGGAAAAAAAATAAGACTTCCTCAAGATAGTTTATTCATTCATTCAGCAAATATTTGAGTTCCTAAGTGTAAGCTATTGTTTTAGACACTGGAGATATATCAGTTTAAAAAAAGAAAAAGTATTATATAATTTTTGGAAAAAACAGGAAAACATTCCTGTCTTTGAAGAGTTTACATTTTATAAGGATGAGGGAAACAGAAACATAATAAATATGTAAGTATATAGAATTTTAAAAGGTGATAAATGCTATAAAAAATAGAGTAGGAAAAGAACGATCACAAATACAGTGGTAGGGTTGTAATTTTAAATAGAAGAGTCAGAATAGGCCTGACTTATGAGGTAACATTTGAGCAAAGACTTGAAAAAGGCTTAGAGATAAAACCAGGCAGATATTGACTAGAGAGCATTCCAGGCAAAGGGAACAGAAGTGCAAAAGTCCTGAGGAGCAGCATGCCTGGATTGTTCAAGAACACCAAAGAGTTCAGTATGTCTGCAAAGGAAGAAACAGAGAGGATGTACTTAATATGATCAGGAATGAAAAAAGCAATGTTTCATTTTGAAGAAGAAAATCACAATAAAGCACTGAGCAAGGTCAGAAGATACAGCTTATAATCTATTAGATTCTATTGGCTGTGCTTTGGATTCAATAAGTCAGCCTAGATACAGACAAAATAAAAACTAGGAAATGCTACTACCTCAAGAGGTAAGAAATCATAAAATCATTGTTACCTCTCTCGGTAAACCACAAGTGTCTATTTAAAAACCTTAGAAATGTATGATCTGAAATCAAGGGTAACAACTAAACCTAGCTGTTGGCTGCAAATGGTCAAAACAAGGAAGAGAAGCCTGTGACTAGTATTCAGGTGCATTTTGTGAAGCATAAGAAAATACAAAGGATAAACCCTCTATTTGTGTGAAAAAAAAGTCCTAATAATGGAAAATTTCTTTTCTGAGTTTAACTCCCAAATTTTCATTTGCATGTATCCTAAAGACTCTGGGAACACAACAGTGACAACAGAATCCTGAATGCAGCATAGGTGATAAAATCTGACCAGAATTAGGAGAACAACAGCAGTAGCAACAACTCATCCTAGTAGCCTTCTCAAGCTATATCATACATTTTTTAAATGTATGACTACATTTATTCTAGAAATGCAACATTGGCTCAATATTAGGAACTTATTAATATAAAAACTATATTACAGAAGTGACATCAGCATCATGGTGGAATGAGTTCTCCAGGCAATCTCTCCCCTCCATGATACAACGAAAAAGACGTTCATACTCCAACAGAGGACATCCATACAACACAAAAGACATCTGAGAGACCCACACAGCCATACACAGGAGGGTGGAGCGGCTGGAGCACCCCTCAGAGGAGGTGGAATAGGGTAAGAGAAAACTTCACTCCCTTCCCAAAAGACTGTGATCTGGGACTGTGCGCAGCCTCCAAGAGGGAAGGAAGGGGGAAGGGGACACCTGTTCATGGGAACATCAAAGATCCCCGAGGTCCCTGGAAGCCTAGGGGGACGTCCCCTAACAGGGCCAAAGCTATCATGGGGGATGACCTCATCAAGCCAACACTCCAGGAGAGCAGATAGTGAGAGCAGAGTGAGTAAGCCCATGAGAGCATGCAGAAGAAAGCAGCCATCCCCCACACCGCCCAGCACTGACTCAGCACCTGGGATCCGGGTGGAATGCAAAGGGCTCAGAATATGCAGATCTTGACCCCCACCCAGTGGCAACAGGTGGTAACGGCTACCAAATAATACCAGGATGTGAAAGAACAAAGCCACGCCCTTTAGCAGTATCAAAAATTATTAAATATCCAGACCAGAGAGAAAATGACAAGTAACCAGAAATCAGTCCTGAAGACACAGAAATATGTAATCTAAATGACAGAGAATTCAAAATAGCTATCATCAAAAAACTCAATGAGGTAAAAGAGAATGTAGAGAAACAATTCAATGAGTTCAGGAGCTACTTCACAAAGAGATTGAAACTTGAAAAAAGAATCAATCAGAAATATTAGAGATGAAAGACACAATCGATGAGATAAAACAAAATATGGATTCCCTGAATACTCGAGCAGACATCACAGAGGAATGAATCAGCATAATCGAGGATAGACATAATGAAATGTTCCAGATAGAGGAGGAGAGAGAACTAAGACTAAAAAGAAATGAAGAAAGTCTCTGAGAACTATCCGACTCAATTAGGAAATGCAACATAAGAATTACAGGTATTCCAGAGAGAGAAGAGAAGGAGAAGAGAGCAGAAAGCTTGTTCAAAGAAATAATAGCAGAGAACTTCCCAAACCTGAGGAAGGAGATGGAAATCCATGTGAAAGGGACTATCAGATCTCCTAAATATGTCAATGTAAAAAGGCCTACAGCAAGGCATATAGTAGTGAAACTGGCAAAAGTAAATGACAAAGAAAAAGTACTAAAGGCAGCAAGGCAGAAGGAAATAACCTAGAAAGGAACCCCTATCTGGCTTTCAGCAGATTTCTCTGCAGAAACCTTACAGGCTAGGAGAGACGGGAATGGCATATTCAAATCTTTGAAGGACTAAAACTTTCAGCCAAGAATACTCTAGCTAGCAAAAATATCCTTCAGATATGATGGAGAAATAAAAACTTTCCCAGATAAACAAAAGCTAAGGGAGTTCATAGCTACAAGACCCCCCTACAAGAAATCCTCAAGAAGGCCCTCACACCTGAAAAAAAAAAAAAAAAAGTAGGGGGAGATAGCAGTTAAAAAGCATGGAGTAAGGAGATAAATAGGTAGACAAATCAGAAAATTGTAGCTATCCATCAGAACAGGTTAGCAAATACTCAAGTATAATGCTAAAGATAAAGGGAAGAAAAACACCAAAAACAAAGATAATCTTGTCATTTAAACCACAAACTCACAACACGAGATGAAATAAGATGTGAGAAAAACAACTTAGAAGGGGAAGAGGAAAGGGACTGAATCAGTTCAGTCTAAGGAAATAAGAGGCCATCATAAAATGGACTATCTTATCCATGAGATTTTGAATACAAACCTCATGGTAACCACTAGACCAAAAAAAAGCAGAACAGAGACACAAATAATAAATAAGGAGAAAACAAAGAAACACAACATAAAAAACCACATAACTCAATTGGTAGACTGAAACATGCGGGATGAGAAACAAAGGAAATGCAGGAGGACCAGAAAATGAGTGATAAAATGGCAGCATTGAGCCCTCATATACTGATAATGACCATAAATGTAAATGGACTGAATTCGCCAATAAAAAGACACAGAGTGGCGAGATGGATTAAAGAACAAGACCCAACAATATGCTGCCTCCAGGAAACACATCTCGGCTCCAATGACAAACATAGGCTCAGAGTGAAGGGATGGAAGACAATACTCCAAGCTAATGGCAAACAAAAGAAAGCAGGTGACATAAGACTTACATCATACAAAGTAGACTTCAAGATAAGGCAGGTAAAGAGAGACAAAGAGGGGCAGTATTTAATGATCAAAGGGACACTCCACCAAGAAGACATAACATTTATAAATATCTATGCACCCAAAACAGGAGCACCAAAGTACATAAAGCAGCTATTAAGAAACCTAAAAGCAGACAGTCATAGTAACACAATAATAGCAGGGGACCTCAACACTCCACTTACATCAATGGATAGATCATCCAGACAGAAAATCCACAAGGAAACAATGGAATTAAATGAAAAGCTAGACACTTGGACCTAATAGACATATATAGAACAGTCCATCTAAAAACAGTAGAATACACATTCTTCTCAAGTGCACACAGCACATTCTCAAGGATAGACCATATGTTGGGAAACAAGGCAAGCCTTAATACATTTAAGAAGGTTAAAATAATAACAAGCATCTTTTCTGATCACAATGCTATGAACTAGAAATTAATTACAAGAAAAAAGCTGAGAAAGGGACAAAGATGTAGAGACTAAACAACATGCTATTGAACAACCAATGGATCATTGGAGAAATTAAAGGAGAAATCATAAACATCTAGAGACAAATGAAAATGAAAACACACCATATCAACTCATATGGGATGCAACAAAAGCTGTATTAAGAGGGAAATTCATCATAATACAGGCGTACCTTAACAAACAAGAAAAACCCCAAATAAGCAATCTGAAACTACACCTAACTGAATTAGAAAAAGAAGAACAAACAAAGCCCAAAGTCAGCAGAAGGAGAGAAATAATAAAAATCATGGCAGAAATAAATGCTATTGAAACAAAAAAAAGCAGTAGAAAGGATCAATGAAACAAAGAGCTGGTTCTTTGAGAAGATAAATAAAATTGACAAACCCCTAGCTAGACTTACAAAGGAAAAAAGAGAGAAAGTTCAGATAAATAAAATTAGAAATGAAAGAGGAGAAATAACAACAGATACCACAGAAATACAACAGATTATAAGAGAATACTACAAAAAGCTATATGCCAAAAAAAATGGACAATCTAGAGGAAATGGATAAATTCTTAGACTCTTACAACCTCCCAAAGCTGAATCAAGAAGAAATAGACACTCTGAATAGACCAATCACAAGTAAAGAGATTGAAACAGTAATCAAAAGCATCCCAAAAAATAAAAGCCCAGGACCAGATGGCTTCCC